ATTTTCACCTCTTTTAATACTTTTCGCCTCATTCTGAAAGGAAGAAGTGAAATGTGCCAACGTGACGGCCGTCTTGGTGTGTGGTGCGAGACGGGAGACATTGACCGGTTTCACACACAAAAAAGTGTAATCTTTCTCTCGCCATTGACTTCAATACATACTTTTTCCGAAATAAGGTCCCATGGAGCTCCCCCGGAAAGGGAGGAACAGGATTTTTATGTAAATACAGTAAACACTTAGTCTGCAAAAACACCTGAAGGTACAGGTTGGATTCAAATCAATAGCAAGCCAACACTAAACACAATAAATAGTATAAGATGCACTCACAGCCACAGCAGAAACAAAGGCATCCATAAGGTAGTAGTCTGCTCCACCATGACCACTCATGGACATGAAGCGCCTGGGGGCTCCACTGAGCGGCGAGTGCTTTGTGGATCTTTGGGTCAGGAAGTCAAACACACGTACCTCATGGCCGTCACATGACAGCTCCCCCTGTGAAGACACAGTTCATTATACAATGTGATGTAACTGATGCATCCATCTTAGCAGCAGAGTATGAGCTCACAGTATGATTTGGGTGTCTACAAACTTCACACCATTAGCTTGTGGTCAACAGTGCCGTAATTTGTTTTCATTATAACCCCCTTTTTTTTGGTTAAGTAGAATGACTGTGAGGCAGCAGATGATTTATCATTTCCTTGCTGACTTCTATTATTTTTGTAGCAACAATTCAGTTTTAGCATTTTTTCCCTTTTCTAATTTCTGCTAGTCCCACCTTGCTGCCATAGATAGTAGTTTTTCGCTTGCATATCTCCTCAGTGAACGCCACCATGGAAAAGGCTGCCGTCAGACCCCCTTCAAACTCCATGTTAACAACCTAGGCAGACAGAAAAGGTGAAAAGACGCTGCATTAGAAACATTTTAGCTGGTTTAATCTGATATTCAATTCAAGAAATGTCAAGTTACATTAACCCAGAAAGGTCCTGACTCCTTCATCACATCTTAATAATTGTTACTTCAAATACACTTAAAGTTTTCTTTGTACCCATAGCAATCAATAAATAGTGTCACTTAATGTATTCAACCAGTTTTTTGTAGTAATTTGGATGTATGTTTTTATTCTTTAATGCTCAGCTAATTCCAGTGTGAGACGCCAGGTGACAACAATCAAATATGATGATGTGCTTGTTTCATTTAAGATATTCAAAGATGTTTGCTTTATATCAGGGGTGTCCAAACATTTTTCACAGAAGGCCACATAAAGAAAAATATACGAAGGGCTGGGCCACTTATAGAGGTGAGGTATATTGCCTCGTAAGTCCAGTTATAAGTTAGCAAAATGTAGGTAAATCAGGCATGATACATGAATATGCTTTAAGAAAGAAACAGCCTCACAGCTCTCTATAGGTTTCATTTATCTTGTTGGCAACTCCTTAAAACAGAAGCTTCAGATTGCTTATAATAAGAACAAATATGAAGGCTCTATTTCAAGATTGTTATGTAAATAAGTTATTGGGCTTTTTTTTTTTTATCAACTAAGATTTGTTAGAAAATGTTTTCATGAATTGACTGGATTTATTTAAAAAGTGGGCTTATTAACACATGAATACTACTGTGTAATAAATGTGTACATATATATTTAAGAAGTACAATCTAGGAAAAGCACAAGTTTAATTTGTGGGCCATATTTCATTATAATTTTTTTATTTGCTGAGGGCCGATTCAAAATGGCCTGTGGGCAGCATTTGGCCCCCGGGCCGTATTTTGGACACCCCTGCTTTATAAGAATGACTGTATAGGTGAAAAAGAAGGTTTTCAGATTCAAGCATTTTTCACACTTTGAAGAATAAGTACTAACCCTGTTGATACCACCAAGTTTAATTTAATCAGCAACAAAGCGTGTTGTTAATATGGGTATAGTTGAGCATGGATTGCTATGGAGATTAGGAGTGGGTGTTGAGTGTTTTCTAACCTGGTTACTGCAGACATCATTGTCACACTCGTAAACACAGCGGCCATATGGTCCAGTCTCCAGGGCCTCAGTCACTGACTCAATGTCAGGGAACGAGTTCGGACAAATAACTGATACAGGCCATCCAGTGTTACCCTAAAACACACACAAAGAACATATGAAAATATGCTTAGAGTATTATGTTCACGTGTGGTAAAGAAATGTAATGAGTTGGTGATATAACTGGCTTGAAACCTGTTTCACTCTATCCATGTAGATTTTGCGTGCCGAGTATGGACAGTCTGCTTCTATTGAACAATCCAGGCAGCAATTCCCAGCACCTGCTGGCTGAGAAAGAACACCCATCACATTTTATATTCATGCATAGTGAAGACCTTTTCTTTTGAAATAATGCAGAGAACTGTCATAGATGTAATACATCTTAGTGACACAAAAACAACTCAGCAATTTAAAAAAGGATTTGAAAGTTGCAATGTATTTACTTTTTCACATAATGTTTATAGATCTTTAATAACAAGTGTTCAAATATTCAGGGGCTACTGGTTTCTATTGTGATAGTGATTATTTCTTTGTATCCACATTCTGTGAAGAGAACACAGACCTTGTCTTTTTTTCCGAAGTGGCTGACAGATCCAAATGATGTAACTTTCAAACACCTGCCAAGTACAAACAGCAAGGTTAATCATTCATGAATGACAGGAAAAATAGGAAATGACCTCACAGAAAACAACCACGTCACTAGGGCTGCTCAATTAAATCGTGTTTTAAATCGCAATTACCATTTTGGCTTGCAACGATTATTAAAACAACATAATCGAAAATTAAACGATTATTTATTTTATTTTTGTATTGGTGTTTCAGTTGAATTATACTTAAAGTTCAGGGTAATCAACTGTTCAAATACTGTTCAACATTTCTTTTTCAATAAATGGATGTTTTCAAAGTAAATGGGTAATTGCTTTTAATAATCGTGATATCAATTATTGACCCAAATAATCGAGATTATGATTTTTGCCATAATCGAGCAGCCCTACACGTCACCTGTTAAAAAATACTGTGGTCGGATAAAAGTGTTACTACATCTTACTTGCTTAATTAGATGAGCAGGGAGTAGGGAGGTGATGGTTTACCTGCGTGTCCCTGCCCAGTGATGTATTAGGTCGATGTCATGGCAGGATTTAGCCAAAAGAGCGAAAGAGCTCTCCTCTTCATTCCTCCAGTTTCCCCGGACAAATGAGTGAGCAAAGTGCCAAAACCCGACCTGGAACAAGAGGTTGACAAGACTCATCTGTAAGAGTTATGCCTTGATGGTAATCACATTTATTATAACATCAGGAATATGGTTAATGTTTAAAGAATGGGTTTACCGGCTCAAGGTGCTGAATGTGCATCACATCACCTATAGCTCCAGCATCTATCAGCTCCTGCAAAGAAAAAACAATCAAGTTAAAACTCCAATTTGAATTTTCTTCACCACTAAAGTGTGTTATCTCATTGAAACACCATATTTAAAAACGTATTAAAACTCTATTAGAGGTTTTTTTTTTAAGGTTCCCAAATTGAACCAAAACTTTTAGCCATGCCTGGTGGGAAACAACTGGCAAATGTTTTCAGGAACAGAAATTGTGAAGGGAAATGTTCACCTTTATATTGTGAATGACAGGATCATACCGGAGAACGTGTCCCACCGACAGCATCACGCCACTCTGAGTGCAAGCCTCCACGATCGCTGTGCAGTCTTCAGCAGTCGTCTTAAGTCACATGAACACAAACACAATCACAGAAAAGAAAAAAAAAAGATTTCTTATTTAAAAAGCTTACAAAAAAACATTATATTCCAATGTTTTTGACATGCTCAAAATAAATGTCATGACATGTCATTCAAAATACAGTATAAATGTATGGTAGCATGTTTTTTTTAAAAGGTCCCTTTTTATTCAAATAGAAAATTACAAACAAACAGGAAACAATTTAATGCTGTCCTTCTGTAGGATTATTACACCTTAGGTTAGAGTTATGTTTCAAGTCTATTTACAAGACACTCACTGCCATTGGTTTCTCCAGAAGAATATGATAGCCCTTCTTGGCAAAAGCCACTGCAGGTTCCTGGGAAGCACAAACAGGTTTGTTAATAGCAAAAAATACCATAACAACAATTCCAGATAACTCAGACAGATAATACAAAGTAGAATATACATTAAAATGTACTTTATGAAGGCGGTCTGGAGTACAAATCGCCACTGCATCCGCAAACTTTTCTCTTTCAACCATAGTGTGCCAATCTGAAACAAAGGTCATTCACTGATTTATTATAAGATAGATCATTATAAAAAATTAAATGCAATTTTATCTTTTGGTGCTCACCTTCAAATATGTTTTCATCTACAATGTTGTGTTGCTGTTGAAGTTTAGTGCGAGCAAATTTCCTTGGATCAGCTACTCCAACAACCTGAAAGAGTTTAAGTTTATGAACTGAACATAAAACAAGTGCTCTGTTAAACATAGAAAATAAATACTCAGATATTTAGTCAAGTAATACAGTAGGAAAAAGTAAAAAAGTATAGCTTCTGGATCAAATTGTACTTTAAGTAGCCTAACAGACAACATATATGAAGTTTTACTTGTATGAATGTGTGACATATTGCTTCTATAGCACTTACAATGTTTGTTACATTAATATGTTGTCCATGGTCTCATCTTCGCTTATTTGTGTCACAGAGATATTATGAGGCAACGTTGTGCTTTTTAATCAATAAAGAAACAAAAATGACTGCTTATTAAACAAGACAAGGCAGCAGTGCGTCCTCTCCTGACCTTAAGTCGTTCGGGGTGGATGGATCCAAAACTGGAGTAGATCTCTCCTCGACAGCCAGCTCCCACCACGATGAGACGGACTGGGGAAGTCATTCTGGCAGCCTGTGAACTTTACCACAAATCAAAGCTTGTAATGGTTGTAAGGTGACAAACACTCACCAGTCCCAGCTTGATCCAGTCTACACCTGTCTGCAACATCATTCCTCATATCTGGTATTCACTACACAGCTCGTTAGACATCGACCAGTATAGCATGCATTTCAAGGTTAAGTTTGTAAACCAGACTTCAAAATACGCTGGTCAAACAATAGCTTTAAAAGGTAGAGAGCTAGCTCATTAAAACCGTTTTTCTGGTTCAATCTGTATTTATCGGTTTAATTTGGTTCAATAGGCCTACCGGTTTTGTCCCATACAGCTGTCAAAACCCCCTCTGTTTCCGCGTTGGTCCTATGTTGTCCAGAGACACGACTACAAACCGCTACAAACACATCTGAGTCTGGTCAATATTTGACTACAACAACACTGGTTCACTTCTTCGGACAAAAAATCCGACAGCATATCAGCCACAAAGTTGCGTAACGCCCCCTGCAGTGTGCACGAGGATCTTATGTTGCATTCAAGGCTGCTCGTAAACATAGACTCTATATCGTAAACAATTATTTCCTTTTAGGAAACGTACAGTCGTTGCAAGGTTAAAGAAACATTCCAAATGTTGAACGCACACGAGTGGGTATTATTCAGACATTAATATAATACGATATCTGTAAGATCCAGGCAGCTGGAGTTGCTGTTTTATTTTGTGGGAAGACCAGTCGGTTTCAATTGAGGGTCATTGAGGTCACAACAGTCATTCGAGGGTTGTCAATAAACGCGTGGTCATGTCACGTTCTCCACGTCTCTTAAACTGCTTTGTTTAGAATACGATAAATGCTCTCCGTTAAAATGTCCTCTTCTTGTTCTATTTAATTTATTTGAACGATTTACAGGTTTTATTATTATTGTTATTATTATTAACTCAAAGCTTGCTGATCTCTCCGTCTTGACCCCAGCAAAAAACTTTAAAATCCATATGACCTGCACTGTCTTACCTTTCACTCTGTTGCACTTGCACAAAGACTCAAATTCTGATAACGATATAATGGGGATAGTATTTTCCACCAAATATATAAAAAGGCTTCGTTGTTTTTTTAATGAAAAAAATCATATTGATTGTAAAAGACAAAATATTTGTAACCTCTTTTTTAGGTTTACTTATCACAGTTATCATAGTATTTCTTCAAGAGGTTTTACTAACGTTACTAAACTCTCTCTTTAAGCTTTAGCTATACAGTTGCCTACCTAGTTAAAAGTGCTGACCCAACTAAATCACATACAATGCAACAAACGAATAGAGACGTTGAGCATCCTCCCAAAAACTAAAATGTAACTTTAGATGGTCTTCGGGAATCTTCGACTACCTTCGTCAGATCCGGGTCACGTGACGCTATTAGCTCTGCAGCCAGCGTGAGCTCAGCTTTCTGCAGCTCTGTAGCTACAAACATTTCGGATGCTAGCTAGCACCTAATCCTGTGATTTGTATATCCTCTGAGTCGTCCTCATACATTAACTTCACAACAAGTATTTTCTAAAAGTCTAATCTTAGAGCTATATAGCACGGGGTTGCGCTGTTGGCTATATTAGGAAGTTTTCTCTGTGCTAGCTAGCCAAGGTTAGCGCGGTAGCTAACGGTAACATCAATATGAATATTGACAACGCTAATCAATCTGTCACAACTGGAGTGTCCTCCACGACTTCTTCAACTTCAAATAACTGTATCGCAAACGACAATGCAACAACCAACGTCAGCAGCATCCCCTCGCTCACGAGTAATGGTAATTATGTTACTTTTACTAGCTCAATGTTATTATCCGTGTTATTGCGCTTACCACTTATTTTAGTAGGATAGCTACTTTATTTCTACTGAAGATGTTTGCCTGTCACTAAATATGCACTGTCATGTTTGGAGTTATGCGTCATGTTTCGAGTCTTTGAAGCACTACTTTTTCAACAAGGTTTGGACTTAGCCCAAACCTTTCTTTAGGTGATAGTGATAAACACCCTTTTCTGGACGTAAAGACCGTATTATCTAATTATTTAAAAAATGCACACGTTATGTATATCATTTTGTTGCTTTCATTTCTAATGAATCCATCCCAAACACCTGTATTACAGCTTCAGCCTCTGCGGCCATGGTGACCCCATCAGCAGACTCTGTCTCTAACGGTGTGTATGTTCCTGGCGGCATTACCAATGGAGATGTGAAGCCTGCTCTGCCCACCATGCCGCTGGCAGACTTCCTCATGCAGCTGGAGGAGTACACTCCCACGGTAGGTCAAGTTGTTTCAGTCAGCTTACTAAATACTGGGCTCACTGTAAGGGGAGAGGTGTGGGATGAGGCCAGTAATGAAAAAGATTGCATATTTTCATGTTTTTTTTTTTACAAGCCACGGTTACTGATTATCATCATTATGTTAAATAGATATTCAGGGGAAAACATGTTTCTGTATAGAACATCCCAATGGGTTTCTGATTCCGGCTTATCCAATAATTTAAGCCTTGTGCTTCCTATCAACTGTGGTGCAACTTTTATCCCACATAGTATACAGTTTAAATAACCACCCAAATATGTGTTACAACTTTATTCTGACTTATCAGCACAAGATTTAGTGAAGTAGTTGTGGATCACAACACTGCCCCTGTCCGTAGGTCAAAATAAATTTAAGAGTCAGGTGTCAACAATGGTATAAAACGGTCAATAGAAAAGTTATTTCAAATTTTTGTTATTTTTCTGCAACCCTTGAGACTTCCTTAAACATACAATCGTAAATAAGCAGAAACAATATAAGGCGCTGTGTTAAGTAGGATGCAATATGAGCTGAGGACGGATGCTCTTACACAAACATAAGCACACACACAACCAAACCCATTATCTCTATCCAAATATTAAAATAGTTGTCAATATTCAATTGACAATCGTGACAAATTCATATGCGCCTAGCTTTGGTAAACATGTTATTTAACTGGCACTCCCCTCCTTAGACAGTAGCTAAGTTAGTTTCTTCAGTGGCCAGAGACTATACCAGTGTTCTAGATAAAGTTAATTTGCTGACATCACGGAATGACCAACATACAGTAATAATGTTCTTTGCAGTTAAAGTGGGTTGTATGAAGTTTGACCACAAACTGAAGTCTGCTCTTTTTTCCCTCAGATTCCTGATGCAGTTACAGGTTACTACCTCAACCGGGCTGGCTTTGAGGCTTCCGATCCAAGAATGTAAGTGGCATGATTATGACTCTGTGCAGAAATGCTACCTCAAATCTTGAGTTGACTGCTAGTAGTGCTGTTTTTCGAGTTGAAGGGCAGGCACAAAATAAAGTGGAGTCACTATATATAAGCAATCAGTCTATTAAGCTTTTTTTCGTATTACTTTTTTTATTTTAAGAAAGCTGAGATGATAATTATATTGTAAACCTATCTTACAAACTAAGACAAACTGACTGACTGTCTGACTTTCATCAAATAGACATCAACTCTATATCAGTTTACCTGTAAACTGATATAGAGTCAGTACCACAACCCATATTCCATTCATATGAGCATAAAGTACAGACTCTTCAGCCTAGTCAACCATGTATTGTCACCTTTATGATGGTTGCTGCAATGATTTTTTTGGACACAAGAAGGGAAGATGCATCTGACTTACTAGTTTCTAATTTGAGTTGCTGGGTATAGACAATTAGAAGCACAATAATGATTTTCTTTTTCATTTCTTTAGAATCCGTTTGATCTCCCTTGCTTCTCAGAAGTTTATCTCAGATATTGCCAACGATGCGCTGCAATACTGTAAAATGAAGGGAACTGCCTCAGGAAGCTCGAGGAGTAAGACAAAGGTTAGTGCTACTTTTATTTTTTACATGTGCTTTAAATGTAATACACACATACATTATTTGGATTGGGCAATGTGCGAAATAATATGTTCTTCCTGATAAGTAATAACGTTTTGTGTTTCTTCTTCTCTACTTATAGGATAAGAAGTACACTCTGACTATGGAGGACCTGACTCCTGCCCTCACAGAATATGGCGTGAATGTCAAGAAACCATATTACTTTACATAGAACTGTCTTTCTTTAAGGCATTTTGCTTTTGCTAGGTTTATCTCCCTGCTGACCAACTAGAGTCTGTCAACACCTTTTTGCTTAATGTTTTTTTTTTATCATGGTGCTTTAGTACAGCTTTGACAAATCTTTGTAGTCCCTTTGCCATTTGTTATCTTTGTGGAGCCACCTTTGCATTATGTTTAATTGTATGATTGTTTTATTGTGAAAATAAAACCTCTAACAGAAACCTTTGTGTGTGAGATGTTGAATGTGTTCAAATACAGCCCCTTTTTAGGATTATTTGAACCAAAGAGATGTAGACATACAATCGGCAACATAGCAGTGAATACAAGTTCTTAAGATAAAAGCATATACGTATAAGGACTGGTAAGTCATGTGTAAAACTAATAAGGCACATTCAAAAACATGTTGAGTCAGTATGATTTCCAGCTTCTTTGTATCCTGTAAACCTGGAGGACAGGGGTACTCATTTCTGCATTCTGTTGTTAAACTTTACTAATAATTACATTGATCCAAGAGGAGCTGATAAAGCTATAGGGAGCAAAAAACAGCTTTATAAACTAGGAGTTACTGCACAATTAATCACAAAATTACCGTATTATGAAAATTCTGTTATTCCTTTGGCTTTTCTACATCTACATGATTAAAGTTAGCTTACTATGATACAACACCGAAGCAGATTTACCATACCCTTTTCCGATGGCAGTATTTTGTCCCAAACTGCGGGCCGTAGTACGTCTCCTGAGCCACCGTAGAATCAAAACGGCGCATATGCTCAGCATTCAAATGATTCTCGTGTTGTCCTGCTAAAAAACATCTTTAGTCTTAAGGAGCAAGGAAAGTGTCACAATGTCTGTCCAAACAACAAATGCCAGCAACCCGATTGTCTTCTTTGACATAACCATCGGAGGACAGGTGAGTAGAAGAAAGAAATGAGCTAACATCGATTTGACTTCCAAGCTACCAACGTTGAAGCCACGTTAGCTCGCCTTAGTGTCGTGTTTTGGTTAATAGTTTTGAGCCAGTTAGCTACGTTGGATGTTTTTAACCGCCTTTCTTCACACATATCTCATACACACAACAATGTGCAGATACTTAATTTCTCTCTAGCTGTTTTTATTGTTTTGACTTTTAGCATCATTTACTTTGCAAAGAAAATGTACTGTGAAAAGAACCTGTCTGAGATATGATGCTATTGCTAAGGTATTATTGATATCAAGATGTCGTTCAGTGCGTGGAAATTAACTCTAATTCTTAATCCTACATCATACATATTCAAATATTTGTTTTAGACAGGCAGTACGGTTGCTATATGTAGGCAGGTGGTGCTGGTGAGGGGTTGGAAACAAGTGTGGTGGATGAAGTTTAAACTACGTAATAGTTTTCTGGAGACACGAAAACAACTTTTATTACCAAATACTATACACGACCCTCTGTGAACAATATAATCTGTATTTAATTATTCGAAAATGTCGTTCGTTCATTTAGTTTCAAATTGTTTATTAGCTTTTTAAATGGTTATATTTGGGAAGATATCATTATTGAGTTGCATATTCTTTTCATTTACACTTCTACTTTTAATGCTATGTTATCAGCTATGATATTAACTAATGTAATTGTCTCACTTCACAATGAAAGTCGTTTTTAACAGGCGTTGCTGAAAGGTTTTGTTAAAGTCATTTAACAAAGGAATATAAGAGTAAGAATAATATAAACTGTTTAACTAGCTTTAGGCAGCTGACTCCATAATGTAAACCCACAGACATTCTATTTTCTTCCATTTATGCAGTTTTATACAGGTCTATAAAGGCAATGTTTTTTACCTTTTACTTCGTCCGTAGCTTTCTCTCTATATTCACTTTTTTGGTGAACGTCCTCCTCGGGTTTGTTGTAGCACTTGTAATCGAAAGGGAAGGTGAGATGTAATAACAAGACCTCGGTTAAATAAATGTTTTACTTGATATTCCTTTAGTGTTTCTGAACAAATATCCCCCCCCTTCCCTTTTTTTTTGTATACAGCACGATCAATATCTTGCATAAATTAGGATAAATGTAATGCTTCCTAAAATAAGCTACATGCAGTTCAATTTCTAATGTCAGTTATAGAAATGTCCACTTTTTCCAACTTAGCCCCACTCCCCGGAAACCAGTGAGAAGAATCATGTAACTTTGACAGAAAGCTGAGTGTTGATGTAGGACCTTATTGCTCATAGTAAGATGATGACAAATACATTTCCAGGCCCTTTTAATACATCAATCAATCAATCAATCAATGTTTATTTATATAGCCCAATATCACAAATGTTACATTTGTCTCAGTGGACTTCACAGTTTGTACATGTATATACTAGAAGTTATTTGTAGTATGAAATACATTTATTTCAATAATGACAAATTAGGAAGTCTCCTTACAAGGTTGATGTAGCTTTTAATTAATCACTTGTTTTTCATCAGCAATAGCTTATGTAACCTTGACGTTTTACTTTCGGTGCATTTTTAAGGTTTTTCGTCCATGCTGGATTAGGAGAGGAGGTTTGAAGTTCCTCACCTTGGAGACTGCAGTTGAAAACAAAGTCTAGAAGCTTTCGATCACATGCCCTCCGTAAGGTCAAGAATACATTTCGGACCTACATTTTTGGGAGAAAATCGCTAAACATGAAATGTATGTGTTATTTACAAAGGTAGAAAGAAAATCAATGCTCAGTTAAAGAGTTTTAGGATATTTATTGAGAAGCATTTATACCCATTATGGACCAAAGGGAAAAATTAGTGAATATACCGGTAAATAAGTCAACATAGCATTTCCATCAAATATAATCTTTGAAATCCCAGTATATTTACAAAAGTTTATCATAATTATCATCACAGTTTTCATAAAAAATTGTATCCCAACTCTTCAGAAAACATACATATTTGTAAGTCCTACATATTTATAAGTCCAGTCACATGTCCATTTCAAGCTTTTGCAGTTACAGTTTGGCCTGAGAGGGCCTTTATTAGACATTAATCGAGTCGACATTGCCTGAATGTTTGGCTTGCTTAGAATTCGGACCACCTTTCTAGGCAGCAGTTTATGCATATGTGCCAGCTCTAACCACTTAGCTCTCTGGTGGCCCAGTTCTCTTTAATTGTATTGGGTTACACACAGCTACTTGGAGTTCCTGCTGTTGTGTTCCTTTGCTTAGCTGCCAATAAACTTGCCACAAGCAAATATTTTCTGGGAGATTGCTGTATGGTCCTTGCGTCTTGCTATTTATCCAGAACACCAGACCCACCAGTAAACTGTTCATACACTCCAACCACAAAAGGTTTACAGTGATGTAAGCAGGTACTCCAAAGTCCAAGATCAGACACGCCACGGAACCGATGAGATAAGGCATCCAACATAAAGCAAAGCCCAGTGTGAAGGTGAGCCACAGAGATGGGCCCGGTTGGATAGGTTCCTCTAGATAATATTCCCCGCTGCTTTTTCTCTCCGCGTAGGTGGTTGAGGTGAACAACAAGTCGCTGCTCTGGTTGTCTGGTTCGTCCCTCGCTTCAGATAACCTATGTGCCTGTTTCACCCACTGGGGGATTTTTGACCAAAAGGGCAGCAATGTAAGAGTGACAGCTGAGAAAAGCACTAAAATAGAGTATGTTATCAGCGCAGACTCCTCTACTTCACACACTAGAGCCTCATTCTCTATCTCAAAACTCTTTCCCTTTAGATCAGAATCAACAGAACCAAAGGAGAGGTAAATAGCAATCATCCACATCAGCAATAACCAAACCGAGTTCCTTATGAATTTGCACTTGGCGCTCTGCCTTCTGAGGTAGGTACCTTCTAAAACGTAGTCCAATAAACCCAGGCACATCATGGGCAGCGGCAGCGCTCCATATGTGACAGACGCATTGGCGAAGATTAAACAGAGTGACTTGTGACAAGTTTCAGGCCCAAGAAACAACATGCTTGCTACTAAGAACACCATGACAAAGTCAGCCAAGAAGATGGACAGGCTGCACATGCTTAAAAAAGAGGTATACAGCTTTCTGGTGCATAAATAAATTACTGCTGCGTCTAGTCCGAACTTTATAAGCACAAGCACAAGATACATTCCAGTGTTGTCCACACCCGGTTGCGCGAGTACGGCCAGCATTTTGCAGGTTTTGTGAGTTTCCAGAGACTTTGCCGACTTAGGCAGCCTCTATGTTATTGCACCGGTCCGCTGTTCAGTTTCACGAGGCTGTAGAAGATAAGATAATATCGGTTAGGAACTTTGCTTATCCATATAATAGTCTGCAATTAATAATTAGAAAACATATTTTTATTAATGGCTGAGTAAATTCCAGGAGATCATGAATATCATGTCGTATAAATCTACTAAGTAGGTGACGATCTCAATATCCGTCATACTAATTATAGTGGCTTTTGCTGTATGATAAAGTCCATGTGCTCTTTTGCCATGAGGTGTTCTCATAAGATGTGAGCAGGTGTTTTTTGTCTCATGCGAGGTGTCTCCCCTCTGCTAGAAAGCTCTGTCAGTATCAGGCAACACTCCATACAAAGATAGATGTACAAAATGTTATTAGGTTTTTAGAGTTGTTTTTACTCCTTAATCGCTGCTCATATTTGATCACTTATAATGAAGTACTTCATGAAATTGAATGGAAACAGATTGCATTGGATTTGTAAAGGCGTGCTCCTGTCACCAGCTATAGTTAACTATTACCTGTTTGTCCCAATCATTATTGCACCCTTCACTTCAGATATACTTATAATTGTCCCGACATATTTGTTTTATCCGTTTCTTCCAAAGCAGATGAACAAGAAACGCAGATAAACAAGAAACCAGTCAAACACGACTGCTCAGTCAGTACAGTTTACTGACAATTGTACTTTTGCAACATCTTTTACTTGCAACATCTCCCTTCAAAATTAATACTTTTATCCGCAGTTTAAATGCACTATTCGGCCCTCAAATATGTTGTATTCTGGCTGAAACACATGGGCTCAGAACAGTCTCATAATACACACATGCACACAGAAGGATTCACACCTGTATTTCATGATCCGCAAAAGGATCCACACTTGTGTTTTTCAATGCACACACAAATGTGTTCCGTTTCATATACATGTAAATAAAATCCAATTACAGAAAAAAGTTTTGCATATGTATTTTTGATCCTCACATATTTGTTTGCCGTTTAAATCCCCTGAACCTGCAAACACAAACCGCTTTCTGTGCACGGATCGCTGTGCATTCATGTGTGGGTTTTTTGAGACTCCCCTGACGCTCACCCGATTCGTACTTGTAATTTTTTCTATCTATAGCCAATCAGATGTCTCCTCAATTCTAAGCCAATCACATGAGCGCGCCCCCACGAGGGTATGATTTCTTGCGTTCATGACGTATCGCTTCATGTACGCATTTTGCGCAGTCCGGAGCTGACGGGTCCATGGAGCCTGCCTGCTGGCGCTAATCTCAGGACACCTCCACTCTCAGTACATTGCCACTTTCCCAACAGGAAATGCACGCAAATACAAGCCTTTATATGGTACAGCGCCCCTTTCCGTGGGTGCTAGACAGTGAACTGTCAACGGGGGGAGCCTCGCTGCGGGGAAATGGTGGATTCAGATGGCCAGTCCGCCCCTGCCGGTACCGATTGCCAGTCCGCCACTGCTTCATGGACCTGTCAGCATATGAAAATACATATGTAAAACTTTTTTCTGTATTTGGATTTTATTTACATTTATGAAACGGAACACATTTGTGTGTGCATTAAAAAACACAAGTGTGAATCCTTTTGTGGATCATGAAATACAAGTTTGAATCCTTATGTGTGTATTATGAGACTGTTCTGAGCCCATAGAAACATGTCATGTCACTTATAAAATCAACATCTTACAGCCATGGTATTCATTCCAGCTGCACCAACCATTATGAAATACCACCGATTCATACAAAAAAAAATCAGTGACAGGAGAAGCAATTTCTGCCATTTGATAATTTAATAATCAAGGTGTGACCCCCAGATGTTGGTACATCTGTTCTCTGGTGAGTTTCAGTAGAGATCCGGTCAGCATGCTCTCATCAGACGTCTGACTGTTGTCAGGTGGAGCAGCTCCTTTTTCAGGCAGCGCTTTATGGCTACACCTTACCTTCGCAAACTGATGACACACCCTATCTGCCTGGAATGAGACAGGTCTTTCCCTCCCGACCTGTATGGTGGGTCTGACTGTTTTTATGTCAAGTGGCATGTGCTGTTCCAGATTGGCAGGTTGGATGTGGCATGTATTTCAGCTTGTAATAGAGTCTTGGCTTCCTTTGTTTGCTAAACGTTCAGGTACAAAGTTGCCACAGAGGTGTGGTAGATGTGGCTGTCTTAGTGTTCCTGGAGTTTGTACTCCTGACCAGGACTTTAGGTGAAACCCCTGTAAGTCAGTTCAGTCCTTTCCTCATCTTCTTTACATTTCTTTTTATGTTTCAAGTGATCCAAAGTAGGTGAACAAGATACACTAATCAAAATATAGGCAAAATATTTTCTTCTTAATATATATTCTTAGCTCTTACCTGTTGTTAGACGCATCGGCGAACACCGCAGCTGGTCTCTGTTTGTTCTGCACCAACACTTTGCTTTTGTATTTCATGCCATTGACTATAAACTAAAAACATACTGTATTGTCTGAAAGTGAAAGACAGGAGATCCATTGGCTGCTTGTTTGGCTGTGGGTGGTTTGCATTGACTAGAGGGACAGTTGTGCAGTGATGTCATGGGGACAACCGCTCGATTTAAAACAGCACAGTGTTTGTTCTCATGCAGATGCAGACACTGGCTGACAGTCGGCCTCTTGCAGGTCCCTCCGGGCTGTGGGAGGCCTGGCTGGACAGACACCCTCGCTGCCAAACTCATGCACACTAAGCTTATAGAGGATTTAATGTGATGCATTCAGATTGTCTTATCATTTACATCTTCCTATTACGTACGCTTTGACCATTGGGAATTCAAATAACTGAGACAGAATAGCTTGTTTTGTTGAGATTAAGCCAAATCTATTCGATGGTTTCAGGAAGGAAATGTTGTTTAAGGCAAGGAGTAGAAGGGAGAAGGACGAGAAAAAAACCCAAACCAGTTATTCAGTAGAAGTGATACGAGGTGCTGTTGTTGAGTCTTGTTGGTGTAACTGGTAAGTCCAGATGAGACCACCTTTTTCATAGAGAGGAGCATCAGGTCAGAAACAACCTGTTCCTATACAATGCAGGTCAACCTGAGGGGGGAACTGGGGGTTTCTGTTTTCCTTGTTAAGCTCTTGGTTTTGTGTGTTTACCTGCTCATGTCAAGTTTTTTTCTCCATTTTTTTTTTTCTCAGGATGTTGGACGGATGAAGATTGAGTTGTTTGCCGATGTGGTTCCAAAGACAGCAGAGAACTTCCGGTAAGGAGAAAGTCTGCCTCACATAGTCTGGTTTCTAACATTTTAGAAAAGAGATTCCACAGGTAGGGCTGTCAAAGTATCAGATTTTCACTACTTAATTGAAATCGTGGCCAAATTTGTTTTGGGTACTATATTATTGAAAATATATAGAAAGATTGGGGGGAAATTATAATGGTTGTACAAAAGCATAAGAAAACAACACTAATGGATAGGGTAAAGGCAATCAGAAGGTGTAACATATCCAAAACAAAATGATCTTGTATTTCTAACATGATATCCTTATTTAAAATGTTCGGTCAATACCAGTGTATCATTTCTGCCCTATTTGTACTGCATATGTTAACTCCAATGAGACCATTTCTATTGCAATATACTATTATGAGACTATTATATAACATGTTCCTTACACTTTCATTTTCTCTTACAGGCAGTTCTGCACTGGAGAGTTCAAGTAAGTCCGTGAAGAGCTGTATTCTTTGATGGTACCCAACTTCACCATCCTGCACACTTTTTCTTAACGTGCACTTAAAAGCAATCTAATTCTTACGAGCACCTTTCAGGAACCTTATCATTGATCAGTAGACCCGGAAGACTTTTCCTTTTGATCAGATTGAGGGATACTTCCTTATTTGTTCACGTATATGCTCAAACAGTTTTCTAAAGGGTATTTACACGTGTGCCTGTGCATGACAAAAAGCCCAGATGTAAAATCAGAGCTCTGGCAGGAATGCGGCAGATGAAAGGATACATTTTACCTCCTGAAGCTCTGCTTCATTTTATACAAAAGAATAAAATCATGTTGAGAATAGTTGTTTTATTCTGAAAAACGCCTGTAAAATTCCATCTCATGTACAGTATGAAAACCTGTGTGCTCTGCTTGGACTTCTTAATGAATTTCCTCTGCAAAATCCTTCAGCTGATATATCGTATGTAGCTTAGAACTAATGTGCAGATTTCAGACGAAACAGCACCTTGGGCCATAACCTGCAGTAAAAAGAAAAAGGCCTGTACAAAGTGTACCAAAAAAGTGAATGGTACAGTCTTTCAAAAGCCTGGATTAGCTTATTTAAACAAAGCCAAAGGAAAACGTTTTCTTCTCAATATTTTCTTTATTTACTGTCATTGTAAACAGAGATAAATTAAAGGGTAAAATTGCTAAATTATTAGGATTTATTTTAAAAGAACAGCTCTCTTTTCAAAAGAAGCTTTTAACCTGCAATATTTGGTGCGGGAGGAATATATTAGACTAATTAACAGGACCAGGTGCTATTTATGTAACCAACATTGTTTTCATGGTGTTCCGATGTACAAAGAAGATAGGCTCTCCATACACACTAATAATTCAACTTAAGAGACTTTATATGCACCCCTGAGCAGGCGAAATGTTATCAATGTTTAGTGATTGTCACAAACATGGACAGAACTGCCCTGTGTGAGTTGATATTTTGTAGCAGAAAACAGCATGATTGTTTTTACGGACAACCTCATTTTGTTTTCAAACTTCTGTCCCGCAGGAAGGATGGAATCCCTATTGGTTTCAAAGGTTGCCTCTTCCACAGGTACACATTGATTTTAAAGCACACATTATTCTTCCACTTTAAATGATTTTAGAGTTATTATTTAACCTGGTTTTCTCCTGGGTCAGCCTGATTGGTATCCACTGTAGTTTTTCCCTGTTTGTCTTTATACTCATATTTATAGAACTAATTAAACATGCACATCAATGGTTCTGGACAACTAATTAAATAATAGCTCTTAGATGAGCCATTTTAAGTTTGAAAATTATTCTAGTTAAATTAATTCTAGACATAAATCCAGGATTGGAAAGTAACATTTGCTTTTACATACTACGAAAGCAGTGATAGCATCAAAGTGCCCACAATCATATTAACCTACAATCCTCAACGGTATTATTTTCCATTTATTTAGTGCATTGTTTACGTGATTATTTGGGCATTTTTCCTGGCAACAGAATGTTACTATGGGACCCAAAAACAAGCCCAAGCTGCCCATCCTCATTGTTGTCCAGAATACATACATTAAAATGAAATATATGAACAACACTCAGTGTGTTTAATGTGCAGTGTTTTATGGAAACTGCTGTGTCAATAAAACCTGTTCACCCACTTTTTATTTTATAGGAAGTATAGTCTTTTTTGACACATTAACAGAAAAAATAATGTCAGCTCTTCTTACAGGAACTGTATATACATTTTTTGTAAACAGCCCTTACCCCAGCAAATTTGACTGTACTGATCTGTTTGCATTGCTCATTGGCAGGGTGATCAAAGACTTCATGATTCAAGGAGGGGACTTTGTAAATGTAAGTATATGCAGTTCCCTTCTGCCCTGCTCTTGTTGCACTTTTAGGATGACAGCTAGTAATTATTCAGGCTTTATCCTATTTGTATTTATGGCTTGATTGACGCTAAAGTGAACCTTTGCACATTTGTCTTGCACCATACAAATACATTTTCTTATGATGAAAATAGTGTTCTCAGAATCTTGACTATAACCTTTTCATTGAACTTTTTATCAGCAGAAATACATCTACTTCCCGTGAGTGCTAAACTTTACCTAAATGGATCAAAAAAAGCATACATTTAAATGGAGTAGTAAGGAGATTGACAGTAATCTTTGATAGGGTTATTGCTGTGAAACAATGTCAAATGGACCTGTAAGTATAAAGACAACATATTTTAACTGCTGGTGAACTAGCAGGATTCTTTAAATTGAAACCAACTGCTATAGAGGCGAAGTCCCGCCCATCTACTTCCGAACCATGGGACCTTTTTTCGAAAAAATTATGTATTGAAGTCAATGGAGAGAGAAAACGTATCTTTCGATCCCGTTTGAATTGTTCCACGAATTACACATATGATGTTTGTCAATCTTAAAAAATAATTTCCATGTAAAAAAAGTCACAGTTTGTCATAAAACTGTTGAAATATAAGACTATGAAAAATATGCAACTAGAAAGACTACAAATCCCAGACAGTAAGTGATGTCATAACTGATGTCATAATTGTTTTCCTCCACTAAATATAAGAGATAGATAAGATAACTTTAACAAGATGCCTGTGTGCTTAGTACCAGGTTGTAATCATACCAGCAATGGGTCTTGCTCGTTCTTCCGCTTCCCGTCTGATGAAAGGACCAGGAGTGTTTCTCAATGTCGAGGAAGGCTGCTCCAGAGCCACTATTTCAAGCATACTACGTCATCGAGTGCCACCGAAGGACTGTTCTCCAGCATACTTGGAATTCTATCGAGGCCGGCGTACTTCGTAGCCAGAAATTTTGAAGCTGCACATGTGTAGACCAAGCCCCCCAGGAAGTGCACCGGACTCTGAGGAAAATATTCGTTGTGGCCAAACGGCGGTAATACACTTCCGTATCAGTCGCTGGGCCCGGAAATACTTTTTCCCATTGACTAACATTGGGAAAGAGTGGTCTGTAAATCGTTTTAAACTAAATAAACTACCCAGTATGAACACTTGTATAGCCCTTATTAAAAACATTTGGTCCTCAAGTTGTAAAATGTGCTAATAACGTTATTCTGAGAGTTATTTTCCTCGACATTATGAACATGGATCTAACCCATGGGACCCCGCCGCCCGGCACGTTCATGTTACGTGTTCAGTACTACATGAGTTTTACCTTTACCCATGGATGCACAATAAGAACCGATTATATGATTATATGAATACTTTCGTCACGTTCCGCACTCTCAAAAGTTGGGCCATTTTGTCTTCACGCGCCAATGAGCAACTCTCATAGGAATTACAGCACCTCTAAACTTAGATGGCTTCCTCTTTCTATTCTGTGTGCTATATCTTATGTACCATGTTTGGTCTTTTTTGTGAAGGGTGATGGAACTGGCATCTGCAGCATCTACAGAGGTCCATTTGCAGATGAAAACTTCCGAATGAAGCACAGTGCGCCTGGTCTTCTCTCCATGGTATGTATGCTGATCAGTGCTTAGAAGTTAATGACTGTTGAATCAGGAAGGGTCTCTTTACTTTAACTTCATCCAATCAAGACGATGTGTTTCCTGCAAACATTTTGTGTATCCTCTATTTGTGTAGTAACAAGTTGTTTAAGATTTGATTAATCCGCTCTGTAGACAATAGGATTTGAATGATTCATTTTACTAGAATGAACGCTGACCAACATAAACAAATAAATAACACTGTCATTCTATATAAATAATGTGTCTTACTCAGGCAAACAGTGGGCCAGGGACGAATGGTTGTCAGTTTTTCCTCACCTGCACTAAATGCGACTGGCTAGATGGGAAGCATGTTGTTTTTGGTGAGTAAGTCCATGAAGTTCATTTTATATTTATTTTAGAGCACAACCTTGATGTGCCAGAGTAAAACTGTTTTGTTTTCTGTTTTAGGCAAAGTGGTCGATGGTTTGCTGATCATGAGAAAAATTGAGGTAAAAATACATAATTTCATTTCAATCTTTATTTCGAACGGATTAAAAAAAATAACAAATGTGAAAAACAGAATACTGTATTGTTAAAATACAGTATTTATCCACATCCATGATAATATTTATATATTATTCAACATCATCAATCAATAATAATACATCAATAATTTAATTTTAATATATCAGTGTTAATGGCTAGAATCGTAAGTGGACGAAGACGAGTCATGATGGTGTCACTCACTGGGTGCTTTACAATAACTTTGTAACATGAGAAAGGCCTACACTACTTAGTTGTTTTTTGTCCAATCAAAACAATTTCACTTCAGACATAACTATTTCAAAGCATGCACCCAACCTGTAAGTGATACCCAATCATAGACACCTACAATACATAATATGTTATAGAACATTAAACTAAAAAGTAACAGCTACGTTAAAAAAAGAATGATAGTTTTAAAGTGCAATTATTTACTAATAAAATATTTTTTATATACTCAAAAAATACCCAAGTGCAATGTCTCAGTTGACTTTTAGCTGACTGTAGTGTTTATTTGTGCTTCTTCCCGCCAACAGAATGTTACTACAGGACCAAACAACAAGCCCAAGCTGCCCATCCTCATTGGACAGTGTGGAGAGATGTGATCCAGCGGGAACTACACAGTCTCTGTACACATGAAGGAGCGTCTCATAGTCACTGGATTGTCCTCAGCTAACATCAAACCATACAGGCTTTCTTTGCCTCAGCCTTCTCCTATAATGCATGTTGAAGAACAGGATTTCAGCAGTACATTATAATGGCATTTCTTTTTTAATACACATGATTCCAGGTTAAGACTTGCTTAACATAAGGGTTTGACATTTATTTTGCAAAACTTTATGCTCAACACTGTTTTTCCCAGTCCAAACAGAGACAATCTTTGCATCTTGTTATAAAAAGACAGATAAGAAAATGTGACTGAAGCCTAAAGGAATACTTGCCCCACATGTGAAACGTTCAAATTCTTATCTCAGTCTCACGGTGTATCATTTATGATCAATAAATTGTTTTACATTTTTATAAACCATCTTGTTTGTTTGAAAATATGCTGTTTACATCTGTAAAAAGCATGATAATCAAGAGTTTTTTTGTAGTTCTCTTAACCCCAAGTCAAACTATGCATGTGTGCAATATAATAGGAAAGGAGACCAATTGACAAAAAGCTTAGCATTATTATTAGTTTATCAGGCCCTTTGATTTTAGATGAGAAATCCCTCATATTATTAAATGTGTATTGCAAAACCTAGTCCTTGTCCATGTTTTGAAATTCAAAATGTCATTTAATTATGTTATCATGCTATACCCAGTGTGATATGCATTGTTTTTGGTAGGTTTATATGCTTATGGTCCCCTCTACATGTTTTTCCCTTTAGTGTTGGGCTTGCTAATAGATCAAAATGATCATATAGGAATTGTGCAACAATGAATACTTCGACTCTGAATTGGTAATAATTCATCTCAGCTTTATTGCCAGGAAGCAAAGAAGGGAAACACTATACAGTCAAAGGCACGAGGGTCCTCCAAGGCACACACTCCTGTGCCAAGCAATCCTCTGCTGAACTTATGGCTACCTCCTCTTCTCATCCCAGCCATCCATACAAATAGAAGCCACCAGACCCCCTCCCCCATCCACGCTCTCCCTCTTCTGCCTTGGACTTCGTTCCCAAGGCACAAAAGAATCCTTTCAGATGGATACTCTGTTCTTAGGCAGGAAGAAGGTTTTTTTTTGGAGAGTGGGGGGGTTGTCTTGGTGGGGAGGCTTTCTGGGGTCAATGCTAAAGCCTATCTTTGTGTGGGAGAACTGGGTTTAGCCATTAAAATCGAGCTCTTCACACATCAGCCAGTGCTCATAAACAGTGCCAGTGGAGCATTAACATGACAATGGGTTGGTTGGTTTCGGGGGGAGGGGGGGGGGGGGGTTGTCTCACACTCATCAGCCTGGGTCCGTCTGTTCTGCGCTACTGGAAATGGATAGGTATAATGTCCGCATTTCACCAGTGTATTGAGCAAGGCAATGAGAAAGTAACAAATCATATATTATAACATCAGGCTTTCAGCTTGTGTGAACATTTAAAATGTAATAAATGTAATCATCAAAGATAAACATGTGCAGCAGGTCGGACAACATTTGAAATGACCTCCCTGTAAATGATATAAAAGACACAATCAAATGTGCTTGGTTAATAAATGATGAAAGAATATGTTGGTTATTGTTCATCGTGGGTGTCGCGTGTCCCGAAATGACCTTTATTCAATACTGTCAACTGATGATTGTGGCTAATCTCTTACGAAATAGTAAAAAAATGTTGTCTTTAATACTGATTATTTACAGAAATTCCCTGTTGTGTATGAAGCAGGGAATTATGTTGTTCTGTGTTACAGTATACAGATATCGACATTGACAGGGTGTATAAAGGCTGGTGAGAACTTTATGTTCTTTGCCGCAGACCAAGATGCCCTCTTCTTGTAAATCTTCCGAGGCATCATGTATTTATTAGGGGCACTACCACGGCAACTCAGACAATGCAGCACAATTATAAATATACTATTACAAATTATAAATATATATTTACATCATGATCCGCACCATATTTTCGGTCTAATAATATTTGTAGTTATCACGGTTTGCAGTACTTGAACATTCTGTAAAGATCCGGTAAAAAGACCATCAGCCCTGCAGACACTGTTCCAAAAAGTGTCACGGTTATCTGTCTGACTTGTCTGGCTTTGACATCACTGTGGGGCGGTGAGAAGGGACAGGTACATCCCCATTTAGCCAATCAGATTATCCTCAAACATTATTGACAGTTGCTTCGGCCAACAGGAACGCGTTGGCTTTCTCGTAGCCAATGCGAAGAACATTTGGGCGGGTCCCTGAGCAAGAACATTCCCCAGCATACCATCTCACTCTGCCCAGTTCGATCGGCAACGGGAGCGGAAAGAGGAAAGCAGAGAGCCCCAAGGCAGTAGCCCCCACCACCGCCGGCCCAGGTTACCATCTAGCACCGGGAAACATAGCAGAGAGCCGCCGCCGGCAGAAGCCATTACCAACCAGTAGTAACCATGAGCAGCGAGGCCGAGACACAACAGCCGCCTGATGCCGCTGCCGATGCGGAGAGCCCATCCAGCCCGGCAGCCGAAGCTTCCGCGGTGGATAAGAAGGTCATCGGTAAGACTGGAAATGAGCTAGTTAGCTAACGTGGTTTGGGATACCGTAGAGGCAATGCGCAAAAGCGGCAGTTGCAAGCGTTACCAACCGATCACCGGCTCCGTTAACGGTTGAAAAACCTCGCTAACATTCTGATAAAGCCATCAACGATCATAGGGGAAATCTGCAGACTATACATGAAATTTCGGCAAATAGCTTTTTTTTGTATACTGATAATGTACAACGTGTCAGATGTCTGATAAAGAAACGTTAGTGTTTGAATGTGATATTGACGATGAGCAGTTTTTTTTGTTATCTCAAAGGAAACCAAATGGAGAAGAGAATATGGCCTCACTAGACAAGACATACAAAAATGACAGTTGTATGTTGGTCGTTGGTTATCGTAGCAATCTGTACATATCCAATGCTTGGTAATCTATTAAATAGCTGATTTAAACAAGTAAGCGTTTGTCAAACTGAGATACATTTAAGATCAGAACAGTAATTTTAGATGTAATCCTGCATTTCAACCGGTTAATCTCTCCTGCTCACCGGCCTTCTAACCTAAACAGCCGCCTCAGAAATCTATGTTACCGACTGGTCGCCAGAGGAACGACCGTTGAGGTTGTTTAAGGACTCTGGTCTCCACGCCAACGTTAGTGCCATTCTTAACACAAACAAGTTAGGCAAAATCAGTTGTCGTTACACGATAGCGATAATGTATATCAAGCATCATGGTGGCACACGAAGTTATTTCGTAATGCTAATTTAGCCGGCCACGACTACTTTCGTCGAAAGCAAGCTAACGTTAGCTCTTGGCCGTCCCTTTGTTCACACGGAACGGATGGTTCCGCGTTAGTAGATTTTTCTCAAAAAATCTCGTAAAACATCAGCAAACTCGTAGCCAACGTGACCTGGCAAAACGATCATAGCGATTCTGGTTAATAAATACATTGGAATATAACTGTCGGTTGTCGAATTTCGCTCTAATGCAGGGGCCTAGAGTTAGCTACTTACCAGGATGATAACGTTAGCTCGTCGGCTAACGAAGCTACATTAGCTATTTACATGGCTGAAGAGGAACCCAAAATGTCCGCCGTAGGATCCCACAGAATTATTTTGCCATTAAGTTGCCTGTTCAATGAAAAACATAAAACACCATAACACCGCCCTATTTAGTTACAATCAACCCAATGGTTTCTTGTAAATACATGGTACACTGTGTGCTACAGTAGTTTCCGTTTGCTGGCTTTAATCCAAGCACATGGTTGAGACCCCGTTAGCAACTATGCTAACCAGCCAGCTGGGCTCGCTGCTTGCTAACATATCCGGGCGCGACACAACCACGTGTGAACGCTCAAATACTGAGCAGTGCGGATTAAAATGGGACAGTAGGTCTGTAGTAATATAACTTGCTATGTACCACAACTAATGTAGCATATATCTTTTGATATGCTATATTTCAGCATTCTATATAACTGAGGCATTAATCATTTGGCTGAGACATTAAAGTTCTGCATGTGAAAAAGCACAGTCATTTCTGGGTCATAATGCTCTTGGTTCATACCTCACACCAAGTGCAGCTGGCACTAAACACACACAAGTATCACGACCTATAAAAAGAGTGAGAGTTGGGAGTTAAATATAACTCGCACATTATCCAGCCATTAGTTTTTTCAGCATCTGTTGTTATTTGATTCCTTATTTGTTACTCATTGGTAGAGGTCTTGTCAAACATGAATTGGCATGTTTGGGGCATTACATTTACACTCCCAGCATCTACAGGCTGAGAACTTACCATAGCTTGGATAATTGTTTTTTTTGTGCCTCATTGCAGCAACTAAAGTCTTGGGTACAGTCAAATGGTTCAACGTCAGGAATGGATATGGTTTCATCAATAGGTAAGTAGACTCCACCCCTATCCCCATGTCCTTAAGACCCTGATATCATCTCTGTGTGTGAAGGAACACTCTCAATCCTATTATCGCTTTGATTTGCTTACAGAGCTGACCAGACCATTTGTCTCCTTGTCTCAAAGCTGTTGTTATGCATAGTACTTAACCCTAAGCAGATGCAATGTTGCATTCTGTAACAAGATGCTGCTAACTTCCAGTAACTGAGGGTTTTTCTTCCTTTTATCTTTTAGGGATGATACAAAAGAGGACGTTTTTGTACACCAGGTAAGTTTTAGGTAATGTTTCTTAAATGATAATTTAAAATGAGCTTTAATATCAAATCTAACATCTTAATCTTTCATGATTTTTAGACAGCCATCAAAAAGAACAACCCGAGAAAATACCTTCGCAGTGTTGGAGATGGAGAAACTGTGGAGTTTGACGTAGTTGAGGGAGAAAAGGTAAGCCTAGCTTTGTTTGACCAAAACAATTATTTTAGTATTCAGCTCTTACATTTTATTATAAATTATTTTCCTCGATTATAATTTTTGCTATTCTTTTTTCAAAAAGGGAGCGGAGGCGGCAAATGTCACCGGCCCAGAAGGCAGTGCAGTCCAGGGTAGTAAGTACGCTGCTGACCGGAACCGCTTCAGGCGCTATCCCCGGAGAAGGGGCCCTCCCCGCGCTGGAGAATATCCAGACAATTACCAGAGTGACGGAGAGGGTGAGCCAGGCAACGGCGGTCGTGAAAAAGGCAGCCGAGATGGGGGAGAGAGCGCCCCTGAAGGAGAATCCCAGCCACAGCAGCGCAGACCCGCTTATCCCGGCAGACGGCGCTACCCTCCATACTTTGTACGTAGACGCTACGGTCGCCGCCCTCCGTATACTAACGCACCACGTGGAGAGATGCTTGCGGTACGCCGTCACAGGGCTTCATCCTGAAGCAGGCACCCAGCAGTCGCACTCGGGACACTTGATATGTTGATGTCATACACAACACCCTCTCATTTCAACATTCACGTGGTTGTGAGCAAAGAATCTTGGTGTATCGGGGGTCTGGCCAATATTTCGCAAATTGACCAAAATAATCTGTTATGCTGGAGTTCTTCTATCAGACTCAACATTAAGTAGAAATCTGGCCACTTTCCTTCCTGCCTGTACACTGCATAACAAATATTCAGTTAACCCAGTGTTATCTTTGATGAAAGCTGCGTGTAAGTGGTTTGATCTTTTTGATTTCAGGGAGGCGAGGGTGACGAGAGCCAGGGAGGTCCTGATCAAGGCAAACAACCAGCGAGGCAGAGCTACTACAGAGGCTTCAAACCAAGGTTTGCGTGTTGGCTTTATTGGCGAAATGCTTTAACAACGGGAGAGAAAAGCAATGGGCTGTCTACATTTAAAATTAAAATGTTCAACTGACCTTGAAAAACCCTCGAAACAAATGCCTCCTGTTTTGGATGGAAAAGCTCTCCCTTTGTTGAAGCCCAACCTCAAATTGTAGCTGTGCATTCAAATTTTGCTTCGAGTTATTGTATAATTTATTAAAGTAACGTTTGCTTGTTCACCTCAGGGCTCCACCCCGCCCAAGACCGGCACAGGAAGGCGAGGAGGACAAGGAGAATCAGGGAGGCGAAGGTGGTCAAAACCAACAGCCCCGCCAGCGTCGCTATCGCCGGAACTTCAACTATCGCCGCAGACGTCCACAGGCTGGCGACAAACCCGGCCCAGAAACCAAGGAGGCCAAGACAGGAGGTGACCCACCTGCAGAGAAAACGTCCGCTCCCGAGGCCCAGCAGGGTGGGGCTGAGTAGGAAACAACCTGCCCACCGGCACCTACCATCTTTTACCATCGTCCGGGTGAGTTAATAGCTTCTCCAATAAATCCAACATTAACAACTAGGAAACTTAACATTTTAGAGCTAAGTTGGGCTAGCTAGACTTTCGTTTCCACCCCAAGGCTATTTAGTGCAGAATCCAAGGCAAACTTTTAGACACAATCTATTGTTTTATCTACATAGCAACATCTGCCATCTGGAAAACAGCATACAGAATGTCAACTAATTTACAATTTTTCTTCTTTTGCAGTTTTTTTGTCAACAAGAAGAAACATCAAACAAGATCTGAGCAATAAAGATTTGACTTGACGATCGTCACAAGCTTGCACCATGCATTTGACCAGATTACCACCGATTGCCTGCAGAATCTATGCAGACTTGTTTTTTTTTTTCCATTATTTTTATGTGACAGCTACAAAAAGTTTTGGGGAAACAGCAAATGTTTTTCTAAATCTGTCCTAAGTTTTTACACCAAATGGTTTTTAAAAAAAAAAATAGAATTTGATATCTGGTCAGTTTGACATTTTTAAATAACTTTTTATGTATTCAAACATTTTAACAAAATGCAAGCTCAAATAAAAATCCAGAAACCAGGAATATTGTCTCAAGTGTTTGCTTTATTCTTATATTTCAAGTATATTGGCTTTGAACAATGACACCAACTTAATTTATCTTTCAGTTACATAGTATACGGTTAGGTTTGGAGTATTTTTGCTTTTCAAAATGAATACGGTCAGAACGTCAAACTGCATTTAGTGGTAAATATATATATATTTTTACATACGCTGATTCTGGGTTCACATTTAATACACAAACCTACACATGTTGCAACCAACATTTAGCATAAAATCCAGTTACCCAACTTGTTAGGTAATGGGACAGTGTGGGTAATACAGTCATACTACAGAGTTAAACGTTGATTTTTCAATTAAAAGTCCCAGGCTGTATTTCAGGTTCATTGTTTAGAACAGCAAGTAGGTTTTAAATTCACATTCACAACAAAAAAGAAAAAATGGTTGTGCTGTACAAGTGGGAAGTCCTGCTAAAGTCCTGTCTTTAATGGTCACATACATAGAAGGTGAACAAAAATACCTTTAAACAGTCTGATTGAGATGTCAATTCATCCTGATCGTCATATTTTGAAATAATTGGGTTGGACAGTCTGATAAGGGTAACATGAAGCTGGCTGGAATCAACCCAGGACTCTCATGGTCACATTGTATTCAACCTAGACCACCTTGGTATAAGGACAACATAGGTGGCAATTATTTTAGCTTTTCATATCCTGGTAAACAGGTAGTATAGCATTTAGTCATGGAATGTTCAGTACGACACGGAAACAATGCAATCTTAATAACTGAACATAATGGCCGTCACCAGTCTTCTCAATGGTAGTTATTTTGTCCATCTCTCAAACATTGGTCTCTTTGCGCAGGCGCTTCATACGTTGCATGTTGTTTTCAATGGCCATGAGGTCTGTGATCTCTGTGGCACAGGTAGCAGGAAACCAGCCTCTCACTCCATCGCGCATCCTCTCCCCATAGCACCATGCTAGGAAGAGCAGACCAAAGTTACCATCTTAGCACTCTTACAAGTTTTAATATGAATTGTAGTGACGAGCACGGAGGTCTGAAGACGATGCTATGAGAGTATGTGCACGCACTCACCTTCCTCTTTCTGTAACAAGATGACAAGCTCAGCCTGTTTCAGCCCCAACTCATCCAGCTCCTTTGGCATGTAGGATTTGTTGGCCTCATACTGTGGAAGACCTGAAACACATTCCCATAATGCAATGTGATTCACACAATCAAAGCTTTTTATGGAAGAGACATCACATTTTTCTGTATTTAAAGTCTTTGTCTAACAGCATTTTGTACATGGTTCTTGGAGTAGACATAACACTTCATCTGCATAATTGACATTTGTTTATCAATTACTTAGGGTTACCTTGTACATGCCTCACGTCAAACAAAACTAAAATCATTCACAAAAGGGGAGCCAGGTTTAAAACAGCAAAACAAAAACGGATTTACACACTCAAACAACTTAAATCGTAGTATTGTATATCAGTCATTTGTTCACTAATGCCCAAACATGCATTTTCGCTTAAAACATACTATTTAAAAACACAAACAACCTGAAGCTTTCACAGGTGATCTACACGTCTGTGCGAGTCCTGACGTGTTCCAAATAGTGAGGTTCAGGGAGAATGCATGCGTTTAAGAACTAGTTAACAAACAACTGATAAAATAAACTTGTATTTTACTGCATAAATAGAACAAGATTTAATTAAAAGATGTTTTGATCAAATGTGCTGTAATTGAACGCAGCCCACTCTTCAAATCATCAAGGTTTTTCTCAATTTTTTTATTATTTGCTTCCTGTTTAAGAAACGTTTTCTTCAAGGTTAAAAGATAATATGGCCAGTAATTGAGACAAATGACTATTTTGTAGATCAAGTGTTACCTTAAAAACCATATTGTTTGTACTCTGAACAAAATGTGCCACCCTGCTAAACACATCACTTCCTGGAGTGTGTCATGCACCCTAGAGACACACCCTTTGATAGTGAAATCAGATAACAGAGAGAGACACACTCATGTTAAAGCCATTATGCAAACAGCCTCTGTGAATGGTGATTGTGAAGGTGGTAGTTTGAATGATGCAAGTGACATAATATCAAAAGGGCTTGCAGATCTTTAAACAAAAGTATTACTTCTTTAAAGAGTTTATGTTTGCATCAGCGGTTTGTTGTCACAGAATAACAAAAATACGGATCAGATGTTCCTGCAACTTATTGGAAGGTTAAGCATGGGCCAAGGAAGAACCCATTACATATTGGAACAAATCTGATTCATAGATACAAACTTTACTTTTGTTAATAGTACATGATGAGGGCAATTAGCATTGTTCTGTGCTCTCTGACTGCTTATTTAATCAAACACATATGTTGTGTGTTATCCAACATTCTGTGCATTTGCCTTAAGACATAAAAGGACACTTTGGACCAATATGTATAATTCTGAATGACTGCTTCACATCTGTCTGGTTTTTAAAATGGTTCTGTGGATGTCTAAGGCACATTTGGTACATACTGTAGGATCACATAGTCCGACATCTGTTTGATATATATACAGGGTGAGAGTCAAATGGGATTAATAATGATTTTTATTTGAATATATTCTATTGTAAAAAACCTTGTAAACCCTGAGTCAGGATTAAAATAGAACATTTGTATTTTAAATCTCTGGAGAAAAGATCAAACCTAAGCAGCTGTATTAGTAGTGTGAATAGAATCCGTGTATCTACCGTCCAATTGTTTTTCTTTATTAAACACGTAAACGGAAGAGCGTTTGAGAGGCCTTTTTGCTTTTTGCTTTTTACCTTACTAAATGGTCTAATGGTCATTGGAGCGAGGGGCGGGGCGAAACTCACGGAAGTGATTTCAAAACAAAAGCGGTGATAATATTATAAACAAAGGGAAACAAGGAGAATTTAGCGATCACAACGAAAACGGCCAAGACACATATTGAGCCCAGAAAATGGATGTTATTAAGGGCTGTAAATATAATAAGCCTGTCTAAAATGGACAACATTGTAGGAGGTTTAAACTATACAGCGGTTCTGGACTGCGGTCAACTCAGCCGTCTCTCGCGTTTTTTTTTCTTCAAATCAGCTGCTCTTCATTATTCCTGCTATATTTGACGAGTGATACAAATGTTTTACCACAAGTTCTTAAGGAAACTGACACTGTTGGACTCGGTTCTAGTTTGACTTCTACCAGAAATAAAATGAAGAACTTTTACTGTGTACTTTGTGAGTAATCCTCTGTCATAGTCCCCTCCATAGTTTTCCATGTTTTTCTGCTATATTTGATGAATGATAAAAATATAATTTCACCATTAGTTCTTAATGAAATTGATACTGTTTGACTTTGTATTAGCCTACTACTTACAATACATTGAAGTACTTTTAATGTGTATTTATTGAGAAATCCTCTGTCAAAGTCCCCTGCTGAGAACAAAATCAAGCCACTTCTGCTAAATTTGATGAGGGAATTCTTTTTTGTTGCCATTAGTTCTTCGTGAGATTGATCCTGTTGGACTCGGTACTAGTGAAACTACCCCCACAAGTACTATGAAGTACTTATTGTGTACTTTTCCAGTAATCCTTTGTCAATGTCCCCTCCTGAGAACAAGAATGCATGTTTTTCGTTAAAAAAACCTTTCTTCATGAGAATGATATTGTTGGACAGAGTATTTTTAAAAGGATGGTAGACTGCACACTGACAGAGTGTTGGCCTCTTATGATGCTGGTGTCTTTTAATATATGATTATTTCTCAGCTGCTAGTTCGTCACAGATTCTTCATTCTCATCAGCCTCATCCTTCCATCAGTCCCAGTCAACGCCTCCAGCATACTTCCAGTGTCTGACTCCATATGATATTGTCCTGATGCTGTAAGGGTGATGCCCCATGATCACATAATGACCCCTCTAAAGTCTGAGTGCCAAGGACCTCATATTATGTCTGTCATTAATGTTACGTCATCCATTATAACAATTTGCTTTCCTTTTTCTCTTCTCTTAACTGAATAGCCCTGTCTTTAAGTATAATACAATGTAAAGTCCTTTTCCTGCACCATTTGAAGGCTTCAAAACAGGCATTTTTACTGTATGTGTTTGGAGAAATGACACAATCAATGGCCCAGAATTGTACTTTATAAACTNCTTAAGAGTACTGGAGGGATGTCAGGAAGGCGTTCCCTTCAAGTCCGCAACCAGTCATAGGAGTTCAAATGCAAAGCCTGAACGATGAGAAGAGCAAGACTTACATTCTACAAGATAAGTAATACCAGAGCAGTGTACGACATGCAGAGAACAGATCAAAAATCCCCTCAGACTCACACACTTTGGTGATGTCCTCATCTGATAATGATGTTTCATTTTTAGCAGCAAAGTAACATTACTCAAGGTATATGTTGGACCCAACTCATGTACAGTATGTTTTGCATCTCCTCAACAATGGTCTGTATAGTTGAGTAGAAACAAACTGTCCCTACAGTTTCAGGTAGATTAACAAAGAAAAGTTTGCAATGAAGCACAAAACCCCTCTTTGTATTAAGCTAGCTGCCACAGAAAGTACAGCTTAACATACTAACCTGGTTGAGTTAGCTAACGTTAGCTAACTTCATGACCAACTAAAAACCTCTAACGTGCATTACATTGACGATTTTAAACACAACTTAACTCTCTCAACTTGTAAAATAACGTTACTTTAACATACCCTTAATAACTACATCACGTTTTTCAGGGGCAACACAAACTGCAGAAAACGTTAGCTGCTAACTGTTGTTAGCTATGACAGCTAGCTCGTAACAATAGCCTCCTAGCAAACTTAAGGTTACGTTAACATTAACTTAACGTTGTAAGAAAGCAAAACGAACCTTCGAGAAATATTTTACTCTCGTGTAATTGTGTAGCGTTGCTTACCTCCAGAAGGACTTTTAGCTGTTTCCCAGTAGAGACTAGAGAGAGCTGTCAGAGCGGTTGCTCTCAGAAGAGCAGCATTGGGCGGACCAGATAAGACCAGAGAAGAATCAGTTAAGCACCAGAAAAGCACAAGAATGGTTCTTGAACCGGTTTGGTTTATTGGCAGTTTGCAAATCACTTAAGAGTACTGGAGTGTGAAACAAAAGCTATTGAGTCAGTGTTGTGGTGCTGTTGCTTTGGTCTGGGTCTCTGGATCTGTGAGCTAACCACGCCCCGTTCATTTGAATATAAGGAATGGAAATGTCTCATCATGAATTACAAGTCACCTGAAATAAATAAATGCGTCATTATGAAATACAAGTCATCTGAAATAAATAAATATGTTATTATGAAATACGAGTCTCTTGAAATAAATAAATGTGTCATTATGAAATACAAGTCTCTTGAAAATAAATAAATGTGTCATTATGAAATAAAAGTCCCATGAAATAAATAAATGTGTATTTAAATGTTCATGTATACATATTTATTGCCTCATTTATTTATTTCAGAATTTATTTCATAGGCATATTTATATATATGTATTTATTTAATTATTTATGTATTTATTTAATTTTGGCTTAAATGGCATTCCATAAAAATCATACTTTGAATCACTACAGTATCCTGCTGAAGGAACGGTGATTATTATATACAAGGGGAATTTAGCGATCACAACGAAAACGGCCAAGACACATATTGTATTGATCCCAGAGAATGGATGTTATTAAGGGCTGTAAATATAATAAGCCTATGTCTAAAATTGACAACATTGTTAGGAGATTTAAACTATACAGCGGTTCTGCACTGTGGTCACTCAGCCGTCTCTCGAGTTTGTTTTTTCAAATCAGCTGCTCTTCATTCCTGCTATATTTGACGAGTGATACAAATATTTGTTACCACAAGTTCTTAAGAAAACTGACACTGTTGGACTCGGTTCTAGTTTGACTGCTACCAGAAATCAAATGAAGTACTTTTACTATGGAGGCTACTTTGTGAGTAATCCTCTGTCACAGTCCCCTCCATAATGCATGTTTTTCTGCTATCTTTGATGAATGATAAAAATATAATTTTACCATTACTTCTTAATGAAATTGATACTGTTTGACTTTGTATTAGCCTACTACTAACAATACATTGAAGTACTTTTACTGTGTATTTTTTGAGAAATACTCTGTCAAAGTCCCCTGCTGAGAACAAAATCAAGCCACTTCTGCTAAGTTTGATGAGGGAATAATTTTTTGTTGCCATTAGTTCTTCGTGAGATTGATCCTGTTGGACTCAGTACTAGTGAAACTACCCCCACAAGTACTATGAAGTACTTAGGCCTACTGTGTACTTTTCCAGTACTCCTCTGTCAATGTCCCCTCCTGAGAACAAGAATGCATGTTTTTCTTTTAATAAGCGTTAAAACTCCTTTCTTCCTGAGACTGATATTGCTGAGTATTTTAAGAGGATGATAGACATGATATCAGCAATACTTCCAGTCAGTACTCCAGCAGCAGCATTTTTACCCCTTGGAAAGTCTTCAGAGTCTGGTCTGGATAGCTGGTCCCAACTCCTTCAGCACACTGACACACTCTGTCACTCTTGTTGGCCTCTTATGAGGTTGCTGTCTTTTAAAATATGATTATTTCTCTGCTCCTAGTTCATTGCTCACGGCTTATTCCATCAGTCCCAGTCATTGCATGTCAGTCAATAGAGCTTCTAAAAATGTGTCCAATTCAACTAAATGTTTTTTTGTGAGTGAAGGCCAGAGCTAAATTATAGATTGTTTGATTGTGTAATTAGAAGGTGAGAGAAAAATAAATCCACATCCTCCTATGAAAGATATTTTATTTATTTTTCCATGTTATACTTACTTGCATTAGAACATTTACATGTTGAACTACATGCTGGATATCTTCCCAGTCTCAAGGAAACACAATCAAATAAATGGATTCATAATTTTTTTTTAAATTGATAAAAATGTATAAATTAATAATGTTGTGTGCAAACATTTCAAATTTAAATATAAAATGAAAAAAAAGTTTACTTTTGAAATGATTTCTCACAAATACCTTTCTAAATTATAGTAAATTATTAAAAAAGGTTTAGTCAATAAACGTTTTTCTGCCTAAAATAGTTGAAATTGAACGTAAACTATATCAAACACCACATCCATGGCAATTAACCCATTTTTGCCCGCTATTTAAATTGACTTTGGTTAGTTAATACAAATATTAATATTATATATTTAGCATATAATTGATTCAGTCTTTCTGAACACTTTTTAAAAAAAATACTGCAAATGAAGAATATTTTAAATGTTCTGCACAGAGTGCCCTAACTTACAGCAGTTGAAAAGATTTTTGAAAGGATAAATTCTTCATGGGCTTCAATGGCTCTAGTAAAGGGTGTTTTATGGTTGCTTGTATAATCCTCAGATAGTGATTTGTTTAAATAACTAGTGACATTTGAATAAATATTGCAAAAAAGGGCTCCACAAAAGCATATAACTGGCCGCCTTAACCAGTCGTATTTCACCAAGCACCACAAGATCGAGAGTTATATAAAGTACAATCTGGGCCATTGTGGTAATTTCTCCCAANTTTTACCTTACTAAATGGTCTAATGGTCCTTGGAGCGAGGGGCGGGGCCATGTGATTTTAGCAAACGAGCGCTTTTGTTTTGAAATCACTTCCGTGAGTTTGGCCCCGCCCCTCGCTCCAAGGACCATTAGACCATTTAGTAAGGTAAAAAGCAAAAACGCCTCTCAGACGCTCTTCCGTTTACGTGTTTAATAAAGAAAAACAATTGGACGGTAGATACACGGATTGAATAGGACTGACTAGAAATAGTTTCATGACTAATTAATAATTTACACATGAAAGGTAATAAACAGATTTTTATTAATTGTCACTTTTTAAACACTATAACTGGTTTGGCTTAAGGAATGCTGTATTTACAAAGGGGTTCCTCCCTTTGTAAACAACCTGCTGACTTACCATCTTTGCAGGTTAAGACTCCTGCCTGCTTGTGTTCTGTGAGAGCAACTATCCAACGGGCCCGATCCACCCTTGGAAACAGAGTTAAAAAATACGGTGAAATATGTTTAACGTATTGTACATCTGATAACACACAAATTCAGTTTCTTATGAGTGCTTTATGAAAAGGAGCATGTAAGGTTGCAAGTAAAACTTCTGTCAGTAGAGGGAGACAAACGCAAAACATCAGACATGGTTTCCCTTAGGGATGTTCCATGAGCCTAGCGTGTGAATGTGATATTAAAAAAAAGTCAATATAGTTTGCCACCTTAATCTTAACCACCAATATTTAGTGCAAGCGAGATTGTATTTGCAGATATGTAGCCAGTTTGTGACAGAAAAATGTTCCCTCTCCAGACCTTATTATTAAATAATACCTGTATATACTCCTTACACTTAAACCTTGAGTTTTTCAAACATATAAGGTTAACAACGGTGCTTATTATGTAAAGTTCTTGGCTGATGGGGATGAGAGCGGCTGTACCTGGACTCGGCCACCAGGGAGATCTGCTCCGCTCTGCCGTCGCTGTTCTTGCTCATCAGCAGCTTGAAGGACAGATAGTGGCTGGAGCTGCTTTTGGAGGGTGGAGACATCCGTCCTTCTGCCTCCTCCACCACCTCCACCTCCACATTCTCCAAAGTAGCGTAGTCCATCACCACAAAGCTCTCCTCACTGAAAAAACAAAATGTATATTACTCATATTTTCTTTTAATTATTTAAATCATCCACAGCTATAATGGGAATTTAAGTGTTTGCACACCCAGCCAATAGTGTATTAACACATTCAAACTACATTCCGTTATATGCTAATAGCATTTTCTAGATATTATCACCTGAAGACTGGCTTGCAGTTTCCACTTAACAAGCTGAAAATGACTGCAGTGTTGTGGGAAGCGTATTCCTCAGTGCTGACATTGTTTTGTTTCTCCCTAACTCAAAACAGAGAGCTGTAGCCTGTCGAGCTGACACGCTGAATGCAAGATTGAAGAATCTCAAGTATGCAAGCACAACATCCATGCTCTCTCCTTTCTCTGTCCCCTTCCACTCATTTCAATCTGTTCCTTATGTTGTCAGCAGCTGGATCTACTCAGTGTCCACAGGGTCCAGCAGGATAAGTGCACAAAGCTCATGAAATGCTTTGAAATATGGTCTCAGTCTGCATTTTACCCACTGGTCTCTTTTTGAAGTAATTAGGAGTGTAAAAGAAGCTTTACATTTCAATTACATCACTTCCTGTCCTAGTGTTTTATTATGAGAGGCTGAATTAATATGAAGTGATCCTATTAGAATGAATACATGCTGGAGAATAGGCTTGTCATTATCATAACATTGTTGACTTATTATCCAGCACTCCTGGGGTGCTACTTGTATCATTAATATTCAATTGAAGTGCAATTTTTGTTAACAGCAATCTTATTTATTTATTTGGTTGTGTGGTTTTTATCCTCTTAATGTTTAATTTATTACGCATTTTCTTAAGAATTAAAAAGTTAACATGCAATGTTATATACATGCCATTATATTGTGGCATAAAATAGTCTTAAAATGAAATTAATATTTTTTATTAAAATAAATTCCGGACCAATTTATCGTTGAGCAAGAGGTATCCTGACAGTCCTTTTGGAAAAACCTTTTTTTTTTTTAAAGATAGGCATTTCTGTCAGTTTTTTTTCCACTTAATATGATTTCATACATTGAGTGAGCAGAGAACTCTGTATTTGATCCCACTGACCTCTTCTTCTTTGTGACGATCAGCACGTCGTTGAAGAGGAACAGGTAGTAGCTCCGGTTGCTGAAGGCCCTCCAGATGCTGAGCTCCTCGCTGCAGAGGGCCAGCTCCCCACGCTTCTTTAACCACCGCGACGACGACACCAGAGGAAATGGCTGCAGGGGGGGGAACACAAGTTATCATCTCAGAAAACAGAATATGCATCACAACTGCATGATTGGAATCGATACAAAGCTTGATCGAAGTTCCAATATGCAATTTCCCCTCAAGATGTTTTGTTGCAGAAACAAAACTTACTTTGATTTTACCAAAGTCCATGAGTTTCTGCATGGTGTACATCTGCTCTGTTCTCTCCATTCGCTGAGCTCCGTCATTGCAGCTAGTGACCAACTGTAGAAATAACAATCAAACATCAATGATAACCCAAAACCAATTGACATTAAAGAGTGTTTTCACAACATCTCTACCTTGCTGATGGCGTGCAGCGACCAGACAGCAGCGAAGTACTCCGCCGTCTTGTCTGGAGTTTTCTGGCAGATTGTCTGTGAGGGGAGACAACAGTTACGAAACCTTTAACATATCAGTTATTTATGTACCGCGGGCAAAACAACCTCTGTAGCTAAAAATAATCAATTATGTAACATTAACCCTGGTTTAGATGCGCGTATAGTTGTGTGGATATGTTTCCCAAAAAATGTCTATGTAGCATAAATATGTGGACTTAACAAGTAGGAAGAAATAGCTAGTGTGTCTCTCAGACTCCTACACTGTGTCTTCAAATATGTCAATCATGTTAACAAAATGAAGGTTAAACTGACGTCCAGCAGCAGGGGCAGTCTGGTGACTCGCTGCATGGGAAGGATGAGGAAAGAGATCATGGGCAGGGCTCCACATTCACTGCTAGCTTCAATCTGGTTCAGGGTCTCTTTGAACGCAGTGTTACTGGTCCTACAGATGGAATAAACAGGGAAGTTCAGCAAATTCAGAATATACAGTATTAGCTCAGCTGTTACAGTTTCTGTTGCCCCTCACAGCAGCTTCTGCAGCGTCCTCTGCTGGAAAGTCTCGTTGGAGCAGTACACGATGTAGGGCTCAAAGTGGTGGGCAGCGTGGTTCTGAACAATATCGCTAATGTCCCTGATCACCGGGTTGTCAGAGTGACGCCGTTCAAGGTCCTCAAAAAACCTGAAAATGGAGATAGAGAGAGAGAGGGAGGGGGAGGTAAGTAAAGAAGTGAATATACTGTGTTTTCCCTCCCATGGATTGATTACCTGAGCAGGATACACACAGCTGAAACAGGTACAACAGTCTAATATGAAGTCACCTTAAGGTCATAAGGTTTCATCGGATTTTGTAAACATTGACTGTAAACCACCTTATTTTTACTATTGATCTTTTCAAAAGATATTCAGACAATGATATTTTTTAATGACATTCATCAGTTAACTGGATATAATGACTAAGTGGGAAAGCCAAACCATACAGCAACGTGCCCAGTCTGGTAAGTTTATCAAATTAAACGTCTTTACTATAATGCAACCAGGAAAATACCACATGTAGGCCATATTGAAATATCAACAATCTAAGATGATATTGAGTCTAATAGTAATGTTTAGTAAGGTTTGTATGTGTTGTGTCACATGAAGAAGTTATTCAAGCCTGAATTTTTAAAACAAAAGACGTCCTTCTTCATTTAATTGTTGGATTCTGAAAAATGTGCAGTCCAGAAAAATCCTGAAAGCACACAGGCTGATAGTCTAATCTGTCAATGCAGTAAAATACTAAACTCTGCTCTACTATAAGATCCAGGTGAAGCTCTCTGTTCAAGCATTGTAAAGGCTTTCCATTATCCGCACTATTAGAAAAGGATAAATGACTTACAGCCCAACCCTTGCTAATGGACTTTTTAACAAAAAGGAGTAAAATGACACCTGGAAAGCAGCCCAACCCAGGAAGCAAAGTAAGGACACACATTCACACACAGATACTGCGAGTCAGATCACAGCTCCTGGGACACTTTCTGCCTTCTAGTTTCACAGATCCGGTTTTACTTTGAGTCGTATAACTAGAGGATTAAAAGATAGAAGGACAGTTGTTTTCTTGCTGCTAAAACTGGATCTATTTTCATTCAAAAATAATGTAACCAACAAAGCACACAGCAACACAGGCCGCTCTCAGGCACATTAACACTGCAAAGCCCGGGAAGAACAGCAAGGCAGCAAAACCAGTTTGGCCAGCATGTTTTAACACGTTGATGGGGCCTTCAGGATACTGAAACATACTTAGGGCAAATACTCTACCTGAAACTTTAATCAACAACTGCTTGAAACAACATATCAGTGGGGGAAAAAACATTAACTGTGTGACAAAAAACTTAGTGTGCAGCCCTTTTAAACATGTGTAACATGTTAACATGTGTAGATACAGTATGCAGATAATCAGTCCATTAAAATGCTTTACACACTGATAACATCATCAGATCCTTTTTTATGTGCCAACAACCCTCCCCTAGCTTTAGTTTTCCACCACACACACACACTCACAAACAATAGAGTAAGCCTATGTTGTGCCCACCTTTTGCTGACTTGGTGAATAACAGAGATGTTGGAGAAGAGGTGATGGTGCTCTGTGGCTGTCATTGTTTTCTTCAGAGCTTCACTACTCTTAAAGTGACGCACCAGAATGCCCAGGCTGTGCAGATACGAATGCTCCGATGTGATTATCTCGAAAATGGCCTGGAAGAAGACCATAAATAAAGGATCCACAAACATTACAACATTCACTTTATTCCTGCTTAAACTGTTAATAACAACATGTGATGCTGTTATTGTTTGATCCCTGAGGGTATGTTATTTTTGGCAGAGGTTTTGATTTACTTCAAATGTTGGGTTCTTTTTAGATTTCCTAGATTTCCTTTGAACGAGAATCCAAATAAATGGCCTCTGCTTTTGCAAGTTTTAAACAAAACAATGTGCAACAGACCAGTCTCTTACACAAATAATCAATATGCTGTGAATTAAATGAGTTCTGGTCATTTAAATTCTGTATATCTGACATTTACTGCTGTTCTTACTGGATGTTTTAGAATAGACTGAAACTGGATTATTATCAGCTACCTATACCAGCAGACTTCCAAACATATCAGCAGTGGATAAATAGTAGCAGTGTTGTGGTTTTTAATGTATGACAGTATGTATGAAAACATTGAAATGGAGGGCTGAGGTAATCTCTTCTGTTTTTGGTCAGGATCTGATAGGTGAGCCATCAGGTTGTGATGACATCACCTCCTGTAAAAGTCAAGTGTCCTCAGACAGGACCAAAGGGCAGTAGCTGAGCTAAATCAAGAACACATATCTCTGAAAATCTTACACCAACATTAATGTTTCTCACAAAGTAGCAGTAAATGATAGTCTGTCTGGTTGACCTGGTAAAGCTCTTCTCCGTCTGAACAATGGTGGGGAGATTTATTTCCTGATTTAATAGGAAAGCAGTGTGTTTAGTTCATTTCAGTTATCCCCAAACTTAAGCAAAATGATTTTGTGCCCGTAAAAGTAACAGTAAATGACTCAAGTACTAAAGCTGAATACAAGGGGACTAAAAGGTACAGAGTGAGACAAGCAGCTGCTCAGCAGACGGACTGAGTGTGATCACACTGGCAGGGTGTGGCTTTATTCAAGGTCTGCAGTGCACACAGGGTAGACCTTTGATATTGACACATGTGTTGTTAGACTGAAGGGGAAATCCAACGTCAGATAGTTTCACACTGTAGAGATGGCGCCAGTCTGTGATGTTAAACTGCTTTCTATAAGTTATTTTGTGATGAAATATAACTGCCATACTGAAATTACATTTTCTAGTAGTAGTAGTGTATTGTCTATAGAATTGTCGGTATTTGTTCCTCTCATATCAACGTTCTTTTCTCCCTTTGTGACATTTATAGGCATACTTTGAATGCATACCTGAACACACACATACAAACACACTTACCTCTTGTCTCTTTCTCTCCAGAGGTGAGATCAATGTCAGGATACCCGTGTCCCTCACCTTTGTAAGAGATACAAGACAACTAATCTTAAACTTTGCATTCCGCTGTATATTCGAGATTAAGCTTGTTTTGAAAATTGTGGAAATGTCAAGACTCTATCCAGTCAGACAAGCTTTATGGGTATTCTGGAATCTAGAGCAAACTAATAAACAGAACTTGTAATCAGACTTCTTTGATTCCCTCAATGTGTATTATGTTTGTCAGTGCAGTGGGGGGTTTACCTGAGGCAGCTGGCTCCATGTGAGCTGTACGGGCCGGTAGCTCTTCACCACGATGCCCTGGTCCTCCACGGGAGGCTCCACCACCACAAAGTCGTCCAGCAGCTCGTCCTGGTTGGTGGAGTGCAGCCCTCGCTCTCGGATCTCCTGGTAGAGGCGCGGTGTAGCTGAGGATCGCATCAACAAACACTTCAGTTATGTCTTAGTTATCGGACATTATTTCAGAATTTAAAGTCACGTAAAAAACTATTTTCATGATTATAGACGCAGGAAAATCACAGCAAATTCCTAAAAAGCATAATTGGAAAGGGTGAAAATACAGTACGTCATTTCTTAACCGAGTTATTTTCTCTCACAACAGGCTAATGCATGGAGGATTATGATGTAATTCACCCATAAAACTGTCGGATGCCTTTGAATTAAGTTATTTGTCTTTATTTTGTTAAGTGTTTAATATGACAATGAGTAACTTCGCAGATTAAAGTGTGGGAGGTGAGGAGGCATCTGTTTGGAACAAAGTGACAGGGTTAGTTCGATTGAAATGCAGATTTATGCCAGCAGTGGGTTTTAGTTAGTGAAAGGTCACAGGTTCTATTCTCACAGTGTTTAATGTGGATGTCAAGTTGAGATGGAAATTGGTCATCTTGTTTTTCTGAGATGACCAATCCTTCATCCTACAAATATTGAGCCCCACCTCTTACAAGTGACAAACAGCTCTTTAATCAAACCTTCTCATGCCTGCATTTTTATAGCTCAAAGCAAAACAGGAGAAGTGGCAGTGTGTTGAAGGAGGAGCGTTTAGTTTCAACATTCAACTAAACCCAGCTATATAACATTCAGCATGCTGGGAACATTCAGAGTGAATGATTTCCTGTTCTGTCCTCTTCTGATGCCTTAAGGGATCTTTTCTATGCTATGACAGATTTTATGGCATCCAGCTATAAAGTTCAGTTTTAGGCTTTACATTTTGAATTGAGAACACATTCAACACCAAAAAAACACCATAGGCAGTACTATTTCCAATCTATTTGTGTTCTTATAGCACAATTAGAGAAATGGACAGAGTGCCACATTACATACCATCTTTGAAGGACCCACGCTTGTTCTGGTTCCTCTTTCTCCCCAGGGTTCTCTAAAGGGGAGACAGCAGTGAAGTGTTTAACGCTGTAGAATGCATAAGTCTCAATAACACTTTATTAGACCTTTTTTCCCAAAATGTTCTTTTCAGCACTTCTTTTAATCCCTAAATGAAGATTTTTGTTTAAGTATACTCCTGTAAACACTATGGGGCCTTCCTCCACATGTACTGGTCTGGAAGATAGGAAACAGTTGTGGGAACACGCCATCGACATCACTATGTCTAAAAGGAGAATTTAACAGAGGTCACTGCCAATGCTAATGGCTATGCTGACTGTGACATATGAGGCTATTGGAAAACTTAAACTAAAGGATATAACTGGCATCAAACTTGGCACTTTCATCTAGAATGTTGCTTCTGTTAGTCCTCTATTACAACAATCATAATTTACTTTGTACAGCAATTGTTATTAGACAACCTCAACTACAAATTCCAGGAAATCTATCACTTTATAATAAAGTAACATAGTACAATAGGCCTACTGCCCTTTGACCCCATCCCTCATCCTGTGTACCTTGCGTCCAGGACCAGGACTGGCTGCTCGGTCCTCTTTGACAGGTTTCAGCGTGGATGCGGCCCCCTGTCCCGACGCCATGGCCTCAATGTCCAAGCTGGTCACGGCCGCTCTGTATGACTTGTTCCTGCGGTTCCTCCTCAAAGCAAAGCCGTCTCCATCACTGTCATAATCCTCCCAGGACAAATCTGGCCCCTGAGTTGAGTGGCGGCTCCGGGTCGCACTGGTGGAGTTCTCCAGTCCCACAGGGAAGGTCACCACGGTGGTGTGGTGGCGGACTTTATGCCGGCTGGCCAACTTCTTTGGGATGAGCTGGTTTTTGCCAACTTTCCGCGCTGCAGGACTCTGGGTGCTCAACACCACCTGCTGAGGCACCACCAGCCTGTCTACTACACCTTCCTGTGGTTGGGGTGTTTCAGATTGGGGTGTAGGGGAGCAATCATCTCCAGGCTCAGATATATGGAGTTCTGTGGAGAAGACGCTCTCCAGAATTAGAGGGGCCTGGTGGCCCATGCAGCTGTCTGACTGGCTGTTGGACATGGTGCCTCCCGCCTCCCGGTCTACTGAGCTCTGCAGCACCTACAACATTGAAGGAGGGTAAAATGACTTTACTTCAAGTTCAAACTACATGCAGCAAACATGTACAAACCAGCAACTTAAATGGAAACATGAGTAATCAGCAGGAGTAATAAAAGTCTCTCTTGTCTTGATGACCCTAAAATACCACCAGTGACCTACAGTGGGGCTCCAAAATGTATTCCCATCAGAGAACAGAGCCTCTTATCCAATTCCCAACTTACACACTCCCAGTCAGACGGTTGTGTCTCAGTCCTAAAACTCATATCAAGGGACTCAACCCGTGACTCACCGCTCACTCCTAGACTGCACTTGTCCACACCAAAGCCCACAGGGGAGACCTGCTACAGCAAATCTGTGCGCAACAGAAACGAGAAGAAAAACGTATTCACTCTTTCTTTATGAAGAATACCCCAAACCTGTGCAAAGAGTAGCCTGTTTAAAGTGTAAACAATTTATTATTCAGGCCCATGTCATTATAGTGACAGTGTCAATATTAGATACATTCACAACAGAGTTTAAAAAAAAAAGAAGCTCTTACAGCAGTTTTGAAATACAGTTGCGCCTCAAGAGGAATACAAAAAGTTGCTTGCTCTTTCTGTTCACTCGCACCCCGATTGTCAAATAACTTCGCTCCTTGTAAGAAGGATTAGGGTGGGAGAAAAAAATGTCTGCCTCACATTCCCATGGTTCATAACAGCGAGGTGAAACGCAGTTCAGCAAACACTGAGATTGTGAACAGGCTGTCTTACCTTTGCGAGGTGACCATACAAACACCAGCCTTCGTATTGAATGATATCTGTCCTGAGTCCGTCCTCAGGGGGCTGCTGTCCGGAGCGTGGTTAAGTGCGGCTTTCAGTAGCAGAAGTGGTCCTCCGCTGTCACTATTTCTTCTTACTCACTCACTTCCTCCTCTGTTTGCAGGCGCCTATTAAGCCGCGCTGCCTACGTCACCACAGGTAAGCAATCATCGCAAACTGACAATTATTCGAAGCAGGTAGGGGCTTGCATCGGCGGAAGCATTTATTCACAGATAAGCATCTTTAATATTTAAATGAAGATGGTGTTACTGTCGCTGGATAACTTAATAATCCGGTTTGGCAAGATAAGAGGGCAACATTTTCATTAAAGTATTTAAAACCTCAGAGTTTGACTTGGAACTTTATATTTCGTTTTGATCAGTTTGAACTAAGCTTAGGTTTTGCTTTTTCGATATTTTTTACACTTTTCTACATTTTCCTTCAGTTTGTTGACAACTGACATTTTATTGATTGGCTGCTAACAGCTCGAGGGCTCCCTCTCGTGGCCAACAGGAGGCACTGCATGCTCGCATTAATTATTTCCATGCCATTATTGTTGTGTTCACCTAGTGAGTCAACAAGTGTGTCATCGAGCCAAAATGTGCTGGAGGCTCTTCCTTTCACGGGAATAACCACAGATCTGTTTTGAGTAGTTTTCCACATGTTTATATCCTCTCTGTCTGTAGAAAGATACTTTTCATTGCAAGAGTGTCACTACAAAATGCAGTCACATACTGTAAAGATGTGGATGTGAAATCAGAACGAAGGCTGAGGGTGATTGGTCTGCCCCAAGTAAGGCTGATGGAGGTATGGTGGGTGGAGATCTGCATCTCCACTTTACCCCCCTGGCCACAATTTGGCACCTTTAGTTTTATTCATTTTAAATGTAAAACACGTTCCACCACTTTCTTAGTCGGAAACTGAAAATAATATTTAAAGCTCCAAAACGTAATCTTTACATGACATGTCTGGGATGCTTATGACATTGACAATGTTTACTCTTTATAAGAACAAGGTTTATCAACCAACAGAGGCCACAACAGGATTACTGTACCCTCTAGCGATGAGTCAGGCGTGTGTGGAGGAGTTCCAAAGTTTTGTATTTCTTCATTAGCAGGAAGCTAATGGTGGTGCACATATTTTAAAAAGAGTTATTCAATGTTGTAGGAAGAACAAATAACACCAAAGCAAGAACCTTTTATGATTTATGATAATTCAAAAACAGGGTAGTGGGAGGGGGTTCATGTGGTGCTAATGGTTAGATAGGGAGAAAATATGTTATTCTTCTTTTCTCCTTGACCTTGTCTGTTTTAAGGGTCAGCCCCTGAAAACCCAGAGAGAGCATATCATTTAGTATTTTTTCTTTGAAAGGTTGAACAAAAATGATTAGCGTATGTATTTTGCAGGATCAGGAGCTTTACCTCCTTCTCCATCCTGCTCTCCTTGTAGAACCAGCCCTCCTCCTTGTAGAGCCACTTCTCCTCCTTGTTGAGCCACTCCTCCTCCATCTCTCTGATCTGTTTCCACACCTCCTGTGTTTTCCTCAAGCTCTCCTCTTTCTTCACTGTCTCAATCTGGCGGACCTTTGTGTTTATTGCTCTCACCTTGGCCAAGCTCTCCAGATTTCTCTTGACCAGCACACTCATTTCCTCTCTGACTCTGGTGATCTCATCCTCTTTTTCCTGGATGACCTGGCTCACCTTCTTCTCAATTTCCTGCTGCACAGTTTTCATTTTGGATATCTCCCTCTGTATAACACACCCCTCTGCATTGAAGATAATCAAAATGTTGTTGAAGTATCGTTTCATGTCATTGAAATGGTCTTGCTCCATGTTCCTGTCTTTTTTGACCTTCTCTATCTCCATTCTCTGGGTGTGTAGAATTTCTGTCAGAAAGCGGGTCTCCTCATGTTCTTTAGATGTTCTGTTTGACTTCATGTGCTGAGCTTGAAACATTTTTTGACTGGCTCTTGCAAACTCTAAAGCTTCAACCATGTCACATTTGACCATAAACATAGTTGACACTAAAAGGTCGTCCGGCAGCTCCTTGCTGGCTGTCTGTTCCCTCAGAGCTGCATTTTCTGCAGCCAACTCCTTCATAACTGCTTTTGAGTTCAGAAGGACTCGTTGCACGGCGTGTAGGATTCTGCAGAGAGTCCATTGGGAGTACTGAAAGACAAAAATATTCATGTAATAGAGAAGTGAATGAAGTGTAGCAATTTGCAGCTGTTGAAAAGAGCCTTATGAACAAGCAAACAAATCCTTGATTCATTGCTTCAGCCTAAATATTCAGATTCTACATTTACTATATGGTTTATAAATACATTTTTCTATATTTCACTGAAATACCATCACTTAATAGAAATGTAAATACCCTCAACATAAATCCACAAAAATTAATTGTATGTAAAATTCAGCAACACAAAACATCTATATGACCTTGTTGTGTCGTAAAACTCAAAGCATTAGAACATTGTAAACTAAACATGAAAAAATGTCTCAATACGAACAAATATTAAAAAATATAAACAATTGTGGAAATAAAAAAAAAGTTATACCACACAATTGTCCCACTGCCCACATTGTTTTAATACTGTTAATGTAAATAAAATGGCCTTTCAGTCTGAGTATAAGGCTAGCTTATTCCTCTCTTTAAAATGAGTCACACATTTGTTGAAGCATTGACAAAGAATTAAGGAATAACACAAAAACAAAGATGTTTAATATAAATGTAGCACAAAAACAATGCCTAAATGTGTGTTTATAAAGAAGCTTACCTTGTGTTCTAAGTTTTGGCTTTTCTTCATGTCTGCTGAACACTTATACTGTGGTGGTGGTATTGGAGTTTTGGTATTTGATTGTAGTTCTGGTGTACTTTCCATATTTGCAGTTTTCCTCTAAGAGATGTTCCTCTGTTGGAAGTCAGGTTATTGCTCACTGGAGGTTTGTCACAACAACCTGTATGTCTCCATAACGACAAGCAGCATTTTGAGGGATCAGAATATGATGATTCAAACTGTTACAAATCCAAACTACTTTAAGTAACAGATAAATGCTTGTTTTTACGAAAGAGCATCCATAGGGAGTGTTTCATTAAAAAGATACTAAAGAAGGAAAAGGGCCATTATATATCTATATTGGCTTATATTTGTTTGTGGATGGCTCAACATTTATATACCTGTGTCTGTTGGTCCGTACTTCAGCTTAATCAACCTCAACCAAAAGTAAAAATAATAAGCTTAAGGTCAGATTTATTAGAGATCTTTTACTGTTGCACTAGTCTAATGGATTTTATTGTACATGTTTTTTTGTTGGAGGAAACAAAAGCACAGACTGAATGTTGTTTGGTGATTTATTGTCTTTATTTTTAACAGTCTGAAAATATAATTACACATGAATTAGCCACATTCTATTCAAGCAAGGCTGAGACATGTAATGTAATGCAATATGGAAACAATGAAACAACAACAATCTGAGAGGGTCACTATATACAGAGTTTAAATAAGTATAGAAATTCAAATGGCAATGACGTTAACATCATTTCTCAATTTCAACATCATATGGCATCCGATGAAAGTGAATATGAGAAATTCCAAATGTTTCCCCAACCAGAAGCATTGTCTTTCATGACGTGCCCTACACATGAAAAAATGTACATCCAACATAAATTTAGTAAACATAGAGAATATGTTTCCATTGTGTGGGGAAACTTCATCTGACATTATAAGGGAGGTTCAGTTGCTCTTAAATGTCACAGACTATTGCTCTATTAACATTTCAAATCTGCCTTTTCAGTTCTGCCAAAAACATTCAACACAGCCTTACATGTTCATATTTAGCCCCAAATGTACAAACCCATGCACAACAAATGTGTTTAGAAAGTAGCTGTAAAAGTATCAACCCGGCATTTGTGTTGCTTCTGTCAAATCATTTTTTCCAAATGTAATCGTATATAGTAGTACATTGTATATGTCTTCCTAATGTTCATAATCCGATGTTTGAGCCAAAAATATTGAAACTATGCTTTACACTCTAGTGTTTGTACTATTAGATTAGATTTTTGGCGTTATTGGTGGTAGTAAGAGAGCCCTCTGTATTCTGTAAGCAGATCTGCTCATCAAAAATGTATCCTCCAGGTTAGTAGGACGAAGGCCAGATCAGGACACGGGATAAACTGACGTCTTCTTTACTTGTCTTTTCAGGGTGCAAATGAGAGACCTGATGTAAGAAGCTGCTCCTAATATGTGCACGGTCATGTTGAATTTGAAACCTAGCAAAATTGTACTGTCTTGTTTTTTGTTTGCTATTCTTCAAAGAGATTCCAGGGTCCTTGAGGCAAATGGGCATACATTTACATAACTACATGCTCGATTCATGATCATAACAGTCTAACATTTAAGTCCACATACAGCTTTTTCTCAAATATTATTAGTCAAGTTATATTTGCACAGCTACATAATATTTACCTTGTTTAAAATATCATATATATCAATATTTCAATCCACTGATAAATTACAACAAGCTTATCTAAAGAAACAGATTAGTTTGAGCAGTGTTAGGATAACAACTCTGGCAGTAAATTGAAGCCATTTAGAAATTGCTTCTATGAGCATGATACAAAAAATGTATGACTAATATAACATAATGAAGAAGTGATTTTCTACATACAGAATGGATTAGCTGCTTCAGGGTTTAATAAGACTTTGCTGAGTACGTCAATGCCATTGTCACATGACACAACTGTTATGGAGTTACTTTTAAATTCCTTACATAACAGTGAGTGTGGCTAATAAAAATAAAATATACATGCAATGAATGATAACAAGTAAGTAAGCTCCTTTCCCACACTAACCTCTTTTTTTTGTAAATCTTTTATGTGAAATAGCTTCTATTGGTTTGCAGGAAAGCAATAAATACAACAGATAATCATAATTTAGTCAAGACACATGCATTAATAGCAAATGTCTTAAGTAAGGAGAATCAGTGCATGTCACGACTATTGTTAGCACTAAAAGATCAATAGTTTTTGTCCAAGAGACTTTCAATGGGAGGTGGCGGGTCACCCCACCCAGGGTGAGCCAT